TCACTCAATACCTCTTAAGTCTGTAAAATGTATATAATCTGAAATTACACTGACCAATTTATGCTAATTTTCCTTGTCTAATTGGATAGAGAAAACCGTGGCAGATTGGCTTTGTTGTCTCCCTTGAACAGACCCTTTTTTTTACTTTTACTGACAACTATTTGATTTAATTTTTAATCATTCCAAATAAGTAACATTGAATAGATTTGGGTATTTTTCTATTGTTTCTAAAAGGAATTTTATTTAATGAGAGAATTTATTTCTTGTGTTTTAAAGGTTTAAAATTGGTTATGACCAACAGTTAGAAAGTATGAAATTTATTTTTATACAATATTCAGCTCATTGTTGCACAAAATCATGATTAAGACCATGCTTTAATTTATATAATCAAAAGGTCATTATAATTTTCCCGATTTATATACATGTATAACACCTGTAGCCGAAGATACACCTCGCTCCAGCAACAGAGGAAAATAACTGATATCTGAAAAGGCACCTGAGATCACCCTCAGTTTCAAGTGGGGTTCGTGTGGCTTTTAATTCCAAGCTGTTAAATTATATAACAACAATCAAAATTTAATAATATGATTAACAAGTTGACTAGTTAATAATAACCCAATAATCATACAATCAAAGGAATTTAATATATCAATTAGCATGGTAATTAAGGAATTACATTCGTATTTTTGTCTAAGTTTTCATTAAAATCTGGTATAAAATTCAAGTAATTCAACTTTTTTATTAATATTACAAAAAAAAATCATAAAACATTCGTATTTTTGAATATATTTTTAATGGTACGAGTTTGCAGTGGTACGAGTTCTGAATGGTACGACTTCCCAGTGGTACGAGTTTACGTTGGTACGAGTTAACTTTTTTGGTACGAGTTTACATGGTACGAGTTTACAATGGTACGAGTTAACTTGCTTCCTCGGTGGATCCAGCTCCTGGCGTCCTGCTCGAAAATCGTCCAATTATTTTGGTGGCTACCGATAGAATATTCTTGTCATTATCTGTTTCACTAAATAATATCTTAGAGATTAGGTGACTGACATGTTGTCATTATACTCCTTCAAATACGGAACTAAATTCAATGAAATATAATTTATGGGGGAGGAGTGACCGTATGCACACAGAGTCACCGCATGATATTTAATTTTGCTGATTGTGGGCATTATCCGGTCAGAAGAACACGTATCACATATTGGATAAGGGGTTGTCACAATAATACACCTTATCGCTATTTGTCCGCCATTACTTGACATCACACAGGTTCCCGCACAATTTTGACGTCATAATACAAAATATCTGACGCCACAATGGAAAAGTGATTGTTGTATGTCTTATTAGTTCAAGCGGGACAGATTCTCAGGTCAGCCGAGAATAGTGATAAGGTGTATTAGAACGTCTTGAACTGGTATACAGATTCATCAAGAATAGCGCTAAAGCCAAAACTTTATAAATAACTTTCCTTTATTATTATTTGAGGGTCATAATGAAGGGTACCTTCATGACGAATAACATTAATCAAAATTCTTGCCATATGTAAAGGTATATTTCCGGTGAACTATCTTTTCAACCATGTGACGAAAACGAGACCATTTTTCACTTACTTCCATATGTTGAACTTTTTGAACTGTGGTAGGTAGATTTATACGAGCGTTCAAGAACTATATGACATTTAAATAAGGTAAAGACCATTTTAATCTGAAGTAAGGAACAGGCGCTTGTGGCTATATTTCTTTTAATATTCTGATTTGCAACAATGGAAAAAAATTACGATCAAGGCCAAGGAGCAGATACAGATGAATTTTATGTTAATCATGTAATAAATGTTAACACACAGCTGTGGCATTTCACATATCAATAAAAATACTTTTCTCAAAAATTGTAAAGGTCAAACAAATTTAGAAATAACATCATTTTAATATAACTACCACTATAACCTGTTACCAGTAAAAAACTTTCAAAATCCACTCTTACCATAAAGGAATTGGACTGCTATGGCCATCTTGTATTTTACTCACAGTTGTTACACATGTGACATGAGAATATGGATAACAGTTCTAAATGGTGAAGTTGAAATCATCCCTTCGAATATTTTACAAATACCATCACAAGTTGGTTGACCGTTATGAAATAATCGTTTCACAGATGATATCGATTATGTTCATTATGTCGTAATTACAATCCCCTTCTGTTTTCACGAATGTGACCTACAGAATTAGACTATTTACCGGATTTGTAATAACATAAGTAACACGATGGGTGCCATGGACTGTCATTAACATGCCATGGTCTCTTTTATGCAAATTACACATGAGACCATGGATATATATATATCCGTTTATAACACATCATGGACTTTTAAATCACATAGAAACATGGCCCATAGACTGTCAGGAACATGTCATGGTCTCATTTATGCATATTACACATGAGACAATGGACCTACAGTCGAACCTTGTTGTGTCCAACTCGGTAGTGTCGAAAACTCGCATGAGTCGAAGTAATTTCTTGGTCCCGGTAAAATTCCCGTTTGATCAATGCATAATTACCTCTGATGGGTCGAACTCCGTTGATTCGAATACTCGGTTAAGTCGAGTAAATTTTATAGTCCTGTGACTGTCGATGTAAAATTATGGTAAATTGACCCCTATGACTCGAAGTTCGAAAGTAAGAATTTTCAAAAGATGCAGACCTAATGATAAAAATTCAAATCGGATGTATTTCTTATGTAATCTAATCATTTTCAAAAGAGATTAAAGCTGAGTAAACATACTTGTTTGTATAACAGTTAAAATGACATGTATATGGTGACCGGTAATTAACACCTTTGTTGATCGTTCAAGCGGAATGTTAGTGTGTTGAACATTTTTCACATCAGATTAAAACGAAACGAATTTAAATGACCCAAGCCGAGATTAAATGAATCGTTAGATTTAAAACTCATTAATTACAATAAATAAAAGGATTAGGGCAATTATGATAAATTCATGATCATTTAATGTAAAGCAGAGGACCTCTGGCTCATCAGAGACCGTTCAGAACTTAATTCGCTCCGCGAGTGATTTCATAATTTATAGTGACTGACCTTTGTAAATATTTGTGTAGACTATTGATTTTATTTGTGCATGTACAATGTACTTGTGTGTTTAATTATTATGAAGTAAAGTGTCATATCGAAAAAAGGCACACTGTTCATTGTATCTAGTTTACACAAATCTCATACCGTATTTCATGCATTCCAAATTTATGACTACACACTCGACCTCAGATGAGTCGAACCTCGGATGTGTTGAATACTTTGGTCCGGTCCCTTCGACTTCGACACAACGAGGTTTGACTGTATATATCTGTTATTATTATTAACACATCATGGACTCTTATAAAGCTATGCAACAGAAGACCATGGACCAATTAGACACTCAGTAACATGTCATGGTCTCACTTACACATATTAAGCATGAGACCATGGACCTATAGTATACATATATTATTAATACATCATGGACTCATATAACAATAGCACATAAAACCATTGACCAATTAAACTATCATGCCACTGTCTCTTTTATACACATTACACATGAGACCATGGACCTATACATATGTTATTAATACATCATGGACTCTTATATAAAACCATGGACCAATTAGACTGTATTATGCCAAGGTCTCTTCTTTACACATTACTAATGAGACCATCAACCATCAACACACAAAGAAACTTAAGACCATGGACCAATTAGACCGTAACATGCCATGGTCTCTATTATACACATTACACATGCCACCATGGACCTATACATATGTTATCAACACATCATAGACTCTTATACCACAATAAAACAGAAGACCATGGACCAAATAGACTGTAAATAACATGCAATGGTCTCATTTATGCATATTACACATTAGACCATAGACCTATACATATGTTATTAACGCATCATGGACTCTTATACCACAATGATACATTAGACCATGGTCCAATGGGACGGTAAAATGATGTGTCCTTCTTCTGTATATTTCACACGAGACCATGAACCTATATATCTGTTATAAGCATATCATGGTCTCTTTTATATATATATATAAACAAGTCTAAATTGAAACAACGTTCAAACCTATCATTGCGTTGGATAAAAACCGCAATTTTTATACGTGTGCATGCAAAACAAATTTCTTGTTAGAGGGGTCTAAATACAGCACAAACAACATTTTCCAAAAGACCAAAAAAGTGAAAAAGTATATTTTAACAAAACGCATTTGACTAGCAGGTCGAACAACTGATGTTCTTAAACCCTGCTGACTGCCATTGGCGATTGCCAAATAAACGGATCACCAGATGTAAAATATATATATATTTAACATGCTTTATATGTTATAATACCATTTTACTTTTATTCCAGTCTGAAAATAATTATACAAGCTGCATCATTTTTCTAATTCTCTAAAGATTTCAAAGATGTCAATTTTCCAAGCATGGAAAAGTGTTGAAAAGAAGACTATAATGTTTTGTGTATTTAGTTCTTTAAGATTCTATTTTGACTTAAATTTAGTAACTTTACATAGTCGGTCAAGCCTAATTAAATTGTATTAGTCCTATATGTGTGAAAACTTTGTGCATCTCTATTTACATATTATTTTTCATAAAATGGTAATAATAGAAAAAGAGTATCAATATAGAAGCTCACATGAGCAGTAGATAAATCATTGTGATGGTGATGGTTATATTATATACTTAATGAAAAATTTATTTTTTCTATTGAATTAGAGATTATATATTAAAAAAATAAAAGTTGTCTCTAGTTATCCTACATAATGTTACAATATTCAAAGTGTATTTTATATGGAATATTGATCACTGTTTAAATCAATTTTAAATGCTTTCAAAGTAACGTATTATAGGTATTTAAAGTTATTCAAATATTTATTATTTTATAAATGTAAAAAGTGTTTTGATAGTTTTTTTCTTATATTATTTTTCCTTAGTATCACTCTTGATTACTTAAATGTAGTGTATTATACTTTTAGGTGGAGAATTTCAATGATAAACATCCAGTATCTGCTATTATTTGTTTGGCTGTTGTTAATAATGTCATTGTATCGACTGGTATGTATGTGCATGATCTGTAGTCATATATTTGAGACATTTTTTCTCTGATAAACTCTTATCATGCCACGTCTTAAACAAATATTACTACATGTATTATTACATTAAATGGACTTATTAGCCATAGTAAAAGTAATCAACCCTGAAAAATATTTATATATTATTGAAGGGTCTCCAAACAAAGAGTTTCTCTGCAACAATCTCATTAAAGACCGACAAACATCCACTAGTTATAAGAAAGATCATTGCTTATCTATTTTAGAGTTAAAATATGATAAATGAAATAGACATATACATGGTCAATTTTCAAACGTAATATTTTCAGTAGACCTGTGCTAATTATAAATTCAACTTTCTTTTTTAAATTTTACATTTTTGTCGAGCCTCTGACTTTTGTCGAAAAAGCGAGACATAGCGATCCTACATTCCGTCGGCGTCGTCGTCGGCATCCACAAATATTCACTCTGTGGTTAAAGTTTTTGAAATTTTAATAACTTTCTTAATCTATCCTGGATTTCTACCAAACTTGGACAGAAGCTTGTTTATGATCATAAGATTATATTCAAAAGTAAATTTTGTAAAAAAAAATTCCATTTTTTCCGTATTTTACTTCTAAATGGACTTAATTTTTCTGCCAGGAAACATTACATTCACTCTGTGGTTAAAGTTTTTGAAATTTTAATAACTTTCTTAAACTATCCTGGATTTCTACCAAACTTGGAAAGAAGCTTGTTTATGATCATAAGATAGTATCCAGAGGTAAATTTGGTAAAAAAAAAATTCCATTTTTTCCGTATTTTACTTATAAATGGACTTAGTTTTTCTGCCAGTTAACATTACATTCACTCTGTGGTTAAAGTTTTTAAAATTTTAATAACTTTCTTAAACTATCCTGGATTTGTACCACACTTGGACAGAAGCTTGTTTATGATCAAAAGCTAGTATCTAGAAGGAAATTTTGATAAAATTTTGTTCCATTTTTTCCGTATTTTACTTATAAATGGACTTAGTTTTTCTTCCAGTTAACTTTACATACAGTCTGCAGTTAAAGTTTTAAAAACATTTATTAGATTCAAAAACCATCCTGGATTTTTACCAAACTTGGACAGAAGCTACTTACAATCAAAAGATAGTATAGAGGGGAATATTTTTATTAATTTTTTTCCTCATTTTTGTTGAGCCTGCGATTAACAGCGAAAGTAGGCGAGACACTGGGTTTTGCGGAACCCTTACGAATTTTTAATACTTAAAAAGTTTCTTTGCTTTTCGAGTATTAACTTATTAAACTAAGATAGATTTAAACAGCAAATGTAGATATATTTATATATATATATATGTTTTTATACTTTATTCAGGTTCAGTACAGATGAAGTCCATGTTTGTTCAAAATGAGCATGTGACAAAGACGTACACAGATATACTTCTTGGCATGCAGTTTAATGGTAAACCAAAGAATATGTTTATATTATATATCCATCTACATGCATACTTTTTTTCCTTTTGTTCTGCTCCACATTTATATTCTTACACATAAGTTATGTTTCACTGTTCACAACAACTGGACCCCTTTTAAACAATTGGCTGGATTTTATTGCATAATGTACACATGGGTACATGTTGCAATATTTTAAAATAGTCAAATAGATGCATAAATGTTTATGGTTAGTGAAATGAGTCTTTTTAGTGGAAGGGAAAAGTGGCATATTGTAACTTAGAGCTGTTAAACCATGATTTTATGATACTGATACAGTGCTTGTTTTTCAGAGGCAGACAACACACCAGATCAGGCTCCAGATGATAATATTGTCTCAATACCATACTCTTCTGTGCTGGAAACTAATGTCTATGATTTGGATGTTGGCATCATGAGATCGCTGATATCCCAAGCAGCTGGACCAATGACTTCTCTATCTAGTATGACACAATTTATTTTTATGTATTTTCCTTTTTTATGCCCCATTTATGGGCATTATGTGTTCTGGTCTGTGCGTCCGTCTGTTCGTCAGTCCGTACGTCTGTCCCGCTTCAGGTTAAAGTTTTTGGTCGAGGTAGTTTTTGATGAAGTTGAAGTCCAATCAACTTGAAACTTAGTAAACATGATCCCTATGATATGATCTTTCTAATTTTAATGCCAAATTAGAGATTTTACCCCATTTTCACGGTCCAATGAACATAGAAAATGATAGTGCGGATGGGACATCCGTGTACTTGGGACACATTCTTGTTTAATATTAATAATGTATGGTTTTCATTGTTATATCCTTGTAACTTGAAAACATTTATAATAGCACATTCATAATGGTTTACCATTATAACTTACTGATAGGATATAGTAAGTTTCTATTTAACCTTGATAAAGGGGGCTATGATGCAAGAGTAAATGACATGTCATACATCAAAACATTGAGCGTGACTTGTCATCAGATTACTGAATATATATATATATCCCTATGGTGTTGAATTATTGTATTATATTTACAATAATTCTTCCAAATTATGTTTTAAAGAAATTGCTTTGTCATTGCAAGCCCTATGTTATTTACATATTTCTTTTAAGATACAGGCTCTTTGGGTTTAATTGTTCTTTCAGAATTGGTCTATTCCATGGGCATTATCTTTTGATCGACAGTGTTACAATTAATACTCATTATTTTTCTTATCTTTTACACCATCAATCAACTTTTGTAGTCTCTTCAATCAGTTGTAATGCAACTTGCTTTTGATCTTTTAGTATATAAATGGTACCGAAGAAGAATGCGTAGAAACTGTCAACCATGATCCAATAGAGCCTCAGGAAACAGGAGAAGGGGACAAGGTAGTGAAGGAGACTGATGAAGAATAAGTGGGCGTAATAGTTCAAGAGACAGGACAGGAGAAAGGGCAAGAGCCAGAGGGGGAAACACACGTTAGATATGAAGATAATTCAATACATGTGTTTTTTATGTCTGTTTAGGTTTAGGAACTTTTAATTATTCATATATAATGGCAATGATACAACTTTCAACCAGAGACCAAATGATATAGAAGTTAACAACTATAGTTCACTGTTCAGCCTGCAACAATGAGCAAAACCCATGCCACTTATCTAGCCATGAAAGTCCTGAAATGACAAATGATAAACAAATAAAATCTGAAAACTAACAGTTTGATTCGTGTACAAAATAATATACAAATATGATAACAGAAGACAACCAATGAATTACACTGGATTTAGTGTAAATAAATCATTAACAGTCATTAACATTTAGAGAAAAACATGACCTTATGAAATAACAAGATACAGGTATCAACAGATGTGTGTATATATTTAGTATGATTTTAATTTACTGATAGAATATTCAATATTTATTCAAATATAAACAATATTTAAAGATCTAATTACAGTGTTAAATTTTTATTCTTTTAGAATAAGTTTATTTAATGATTGATAACTTTACCCAGAGCATACCTAAATTTTTAAAGCTCGGTAAACAACATGATATAGAAAATCAATATTATTTTTAAAGAAGTCTTTAACTTTTACAGCAACAGGAGATATTAAATATTATTTTTTATTAGCTCACCTGGCCCGAAGGGCCAAGTGAGCTTTTCTCATCACTTGGCGTCCGTCGTCCGTCGTCGGCGTAAACTTTTTACATTTTGAACTTCTTCTAGAGAACTACTGAATGGAATGAAACCAAACATGGCATGAATGTTCCTTATGAGGTGCTGACCAAGTGTTGTTACTTTGTAGCCGATCCATCATCCAAGATGGCCGCCAGCGGGGGACTTAGTTTAACATAGGACCCTATGGGAAATGCATACAAATGACTTCTTTTAGAGAACCACTGAATGGAATGAAACCAAACATGGCATGAATGTTTCTTATGAGGTGCTGACCGAGTGTTGTTACTTTGAAGCCGATCCATAATCCAAGATGGCAGCCAGCGGGGGACTTAGTTTAACATAGGACCCTATGGGAAATGCATACAAATGTCTTCTTTTAGAGAACCACTGAATGGAATGAAACAAAACATAGCATGAATGTTCATTAGGAGGTGCTGACCAAGTGTTGTTACTTTGTAGTTGATCCATCATCCAAGATGGCTGCCAGCAGGGGACTTAGTTTAACATAGGACCCTATGGGAAATGCATACAAATGACTTCTTTTAGAGAACCACTGAATGGAATGAAACAAAACATAGCATGAATGTTCCTTACAAGGTGCTGACCAAGTGTTGTTACTTTGTAGCCATTCCATCATCCAAAATGGCCGCCAGCGAGGGACATAGTTTAACATTGGACCCTATGGGAAAGGCATACAAATGACTTCTTTTAGAGAACCACTGAATGGAATGAAACAAAACATAGCATGAATGTTCATTAGGAGGTGCTGACCAAGTGTTGTTACTTTGTAGCCGATCCATCATCCAAGATGGCCGCCAGCAGGGGACTTAGTTTAACATAGGACCCTATGGGAAATGCATACAAATGACTTCTTTTAGAGAACCACTGAATGGAATGAAACAAAACATAGCATGAATGTTACTTACAAGGTGCTGACCAAGTGTTGTTACTTTGTAGCCGTTCCATCATCCAAAATGGCCGCCAGTGAGGGACTTAGTTTAACATAGGACCCTATGAGAAATACATACAAATGTCTTCTTTTAGAGAACCACTGAATGGAATGAAACCAAACATGGCAAGAATGTTCCTTATGAGGTGCTGACCAAGTGTTGTTACTTTGAAGCCGATCCATCATCCAAGATGGCAACCAGCGGGGGACTTAGTTTAACATAGGATCCTATGGGAAATACATACAAATGTTTTCTTTTAGAGAACCACTGAATGCAATGAAACCAAACATGGCATGAATGTTCCTTATGAGGTGCTGACCGAGTGTTGTTACTTTGAAGCCGATCCATAATCCAAGATGGCCGCCAGCGGGGGACTTAGTTTAACATGGGACCCTATGGGAAATACATACAAACGCCTTATTTTAGAGAACCACTGAATGGAATGAAACCAAACATGGCAAGAATGTTCCTTATGAGGTGCTGACCAAGTGTTGTTACTTTGAAGCCGATCCATCATCCAAGATGGCAGCCAGCGGGGGACTTAGTTTAACATAGGATCCTATGGGAAATACATACAAATGTTTTCTTTTAGAGAACCACTGAATGGAATGAAACCAAACATGGCATGAATGTTCCTTATGAGGTGCTGACCAAGTGTTGTTACTATAAAGCCGATCCATAATCTAAGATGGCCGCCAGCGGAGGACTTAGTTTAACATAGGACCCTATGAGAAATACGTACAAATGTTTTCTTTTAGAGAACCATTGAATGGAATGAAACCAAACATGGCATGCATGTTCCTTTCGAGGTGCTGACCAAGTGTTGTTACTTTGAAGCTGATCCTTCATCTATGATGGCTGCCAGATGGGGACAATGTTTAACAAAGGACCCTATGGACAATACATACAAATGTCTTCTTTTAGAGAACCACATACTGAATGGATTGAACCAAACATGGCATGAATGTTCCTTATGAGGTGCTGACTAATTTTTGTTACTTTGAAGCTGATCCTTCATCCATGATGGCCGCCAATGGGGGGACTTCCTTTAACATAAGACCCTATGGGAAATACATACAAATGCTTCTTCTAGAGGTGCACTGAATGGAATGAAACCAAAACATGGCATAAATGTTTCTTATGAGGTGCTGATTAAGTGTTGCTACTTTGTTGCTGATTTACTGTTCAAGATGGCCACCAGGATTTTTTATTAAATTACAGGACCAATATTAAACCAAATTTGGCCTCACTCATTATTAGGGTATCTGTTATGATTTTAATCTATTTTTACATGATTTCCAAAACCAAAGTAGAATCAGGTGAGCGACACAGGCTCTTGAGAGCCTCTAGTTATGTTTTTGTTTTTTTTACCAAATATGTGGGGTTTTTTTAAATAAAAGTAGATGCACTGAAAACATTTTAAGATTGAAGTGTATTTTATAGGTGAAAAGAGAAAGAATACACTCAATTTTCATGGAAGAGGTAAAATATAACTTGAATATTTTAGAATGCACAAATTGAAGTTTATTTTAAACAAAAACACATAGAGGCCACTGTAATGGCCTTCTTCTTTAACTTAAATCCACTTTCCATAGAGGAATGAACAGCTTACCAGTCCACAGCAAATGTAAATTGCATTTATAATGCAGTGTCCATTATCCTCTATGGAAATGAAGATATGGCTGTGGTACTGAAGCTCGCTTCAGTGTTGAAAATGGTGGATGATATAGTACCATTTTCAAAATATGTAAGAATACAATAAATTCATTTATTTATTTTTCCATCATTTTATACCATTCTATTACAGATGGAATATAGAACTGTTTGTTGCTCTTGAATAAATCCAACCTAATGACTGGAAATGTTTGTTTGTTAAACGGTTCTCTATGTTAAATCAATATAAAACCAGTATAAATTCAACCATAAGACCTGTTTATTTGAAAAGATTTTATATTTGCAATTCACAAACCATTTATATGATCACAATCTGGTGTTTCAATCAATATCACTATAATGTAGTATGATAAAAGAGTAGCACATAAGTATACAAATGTAGACAAAATGGACATACATTAACAAAATTATGTAAATCACAGGTTACCATTAAGGGATTATCTATGATTGTGCTTGGCAATGTTAATTCATTTTTTTAAATTTGAGCACTGACAGATTTGCCTATAGGAAAGTAATATTTATTCTAATTACATTATTGTAATATTTCTCTTATATTGTAGAAGAATCCAAAGAGAAAACTGACCCGTGGGTTAAATCAACCCTGCAGCAGGTGAATGCAGCCTCAACAGCAGAGGAGGTAGAGTATGGATGCCGAAAAGAGCTGGTCTCGACTATTCAATATCCATACAGGGACGGAAGTAAGTATAATGTTTCTTTAAATAATTTTTACCATTTAAATGTTTAAAAAATATATTAATATGAAAATGAGGAAATGTGGTATGATTTCCAATGAGATTACTACCCACAAAAGACCAAATTATACAGAAATTAACAACTACAGGTCACCACACAATCTTCAACATTGAGCACAGCCCATATTGCATAATCAGCTATAAAAAGCTCCAAAATGACAAATCTTAAACCAATCAAACAAGAAAACGAACAGCCTGATTTATGTACAAAATAATTAATGAAAAATGCACATATTTATTTAGCACAAATAGTTATAGTTCTGTTCTGTATATCATTACTGGTCAACTTTTTCTGATGATCAATGTATGTAATAGTAGACCAAGTATTCTGTTTTTAATTTTGCTACCTATGTATATTATCTATAGCTTTGTTATTTTTCATTCAGCTGTTTTCCATCTACATCTATTGTCCCATTTGATGTCACGTCCAATACAACAGCACTGCAAAAAATACCAGCAGTACCAGCAGCTGATCCTGCCATTGTTGACACCCCCAGCTAGACCATCATCTTTACACTTGGTTTGGGTGCCTGCCAATCCAAGAAATATGTAAGATCTAAAAGTTGTAAGCCTCACCTTATCCTGCAATCAGCCAACTATTGTACAAATAACAGGTACAAAAATAAATTTTTGCTTTATTTTGGAAGATATCAAATTTATTTGTACTCGCTATGATACAGATATTCACTCAAAATATATCATGTTAAGAATTTCTGTGTATTTCATTTGTAAAGTTATTTACAAGCATCACTCACATCGTTTACACATACATGTATAGTGTGTGAAATGGCTATGCATTGCTGATGTCAAAACTAAGGCTTACAATTCCATTATAAAGGTTGCTGTAAAGTGTGATTTTCGTGTTCCTTAGGAGTGACTAAAAAATATTTTATATTCTAAGGAGTTCGGCAAATTATCTGAAGAAGTTTTTAAAATTTATCTGACTTGAATTCAACCTAATTACATTGAAGTATACTACATCACAAAGCATTTTGAAGTAAAATGTAATATATTTATAGACACCTAAATGCATATTTTTTTTTTACTTTTGAATTTAGTTATACTTTTATAATATATTTTTTTATTTTTTTCTTCATACAGTTTTGTATCTATCAACCATGTGGTTCCAGCTGTCTGCTCATTGAGACCATATGGAAGCTGTATTGAGGATTGTGCGTTTCTTGGCCTTGGGTTGTGCTGTTTTATGGACAGCCACCACAAGGATATAACCCCAGGCTGGGTGGAATGTACCATTTGTGGACAGTGGGTTCCTGATACATGCATGGGTGTCACTGTAGCAGCCTTTAGCTTGCAGGATGATTTCCCATGTGGATGTGATTGCCTGCAAAATGGAGTGTTAAAACTGAAAAGGTAAAAAAATACCTAGTTCTCGTAAAAAAAAACTCTTCCTTTATCCAGTCTAATTTACCCGAATATAAAATTCTGTGTTTTCAATACTTAGTACTTACATTTCTATGGAAATTGTACCAAAATGAATCTAAAAGATTTTTCTATATTTTTTTTGTTGAACGTAAGTTGGTTTTATTTTTATGTACACCTAAATGGTTTTAGGCTATTGGAAAAGTATTTTGTATTGTGTTAGCTACAATGTATTTGACATTGCATACTTATAATATTTTTTTTTATATTTCAGCATTGAATACTACACAACTTTGCAGGTTAGGCCAAAATAAATAAATGGTGTGTTTCCGGTTTCCCGACCCTACCTCCGTTTCCGACGCCGACCCTAAACATTTTATTGACAAAAATGAAAATAAAAATTCAAAATCCGGATTTTTCAGTCTGTCCGGATCCGATTATTCGTTTAGAGTACTATAGATCTTCAAAGCGTTTGATAATAACGACCAATATTGTTAAGTAAAGCGTTTCAAGGACCAAGATTTTAAATAAACAAGCATGGCTTTTCGGCAACCGTGTAGCGTATTAGCTGTCAAATATGTGAAATGTGATCACATAGACGCAAAATATAATGACATCAGTTCCGGATAATTACGATATGATGAATCTTTTTGAAGAACATCAAGCGGACCTATAGACAAAAAAATATGAAGTTGAAGCACTATGCTCAACTTCTTTGTACAGGTACAAGCGAGATTTTTTAAATATTTGTATATATAATGAATAGTGTATTCAGTATATATACATATATTAACTAAATCTAGTCTTGTACCTGTGCTTCTTTGGACCAAAAGTCAGAATCGTTTCAGGTTGGACAGACTGTATCTGTCGGTAAATTGACTAACAATTTTAAAGTAAAATGAGTTCAAATTTACTGCTAAAATCCATCCAGCTTTTGATGTAAAACATGCTCTTACGAATGTTGTACAGAATTGTGCTCAGGACGCAACACAAATGGCTGTTAATGCTTTTTAGTTTATGATGACAAGGGGACAGACAATGTGGAATGAGAAAGGTGAAACTTGAGAAGCTTTCCCCAGTAGGCAGACATGGTGTATGATTCATATTCATTTATAAATGAATCTGCCCCAGCACCATGTCTACTTTTATTCTTTTTTATTTCTCTGGCTGGTCCCATAACAATTTATAAAAGAAAAGGGAAAAAATCCTGTCATATTTACATCTGCAATTTATTTGACCAGTAGATTAATGAGGTACATTCATGACGAATTGTCACGAAATAGAAGTTCCTTCATAATAGAAGTTCCAACTGGAAAAAGTGTTCTGGAATAAATTTTACAGTATATGTTCCCAACAGAATGAATGGTTTAGAATATTTGTTCCAACAGGAACAAATATTATGACATTGGTTATAACAAAGTTTCCAGTGGAACTTCTGTAACATATGTAGACACAATAACGCTAAAAAATCTTGCCAAACGACTTTAACGGTAATTTTTGGTGCATGACGATAAAATGTACATTTTCTTTTAGATGGTAAAAAAATCGACTGGTTTTGACGAATCACGTAAAAAATTTTCCAAAAATAACGGTTTCGATAATTATTTGAGACTTCTGACCAAGGATTTGTATAGTATACAAATCCTTGCTCTGAAGAATCACGATCAGGATATTTTGATGAATTAAGGTAAAATTTTAACCAATTTGACGCTAACGGTAGCCGATAATGACCGTTTGACGCCTGACGGTAAAGGGCATTACTACCCTCATTAATAAGACAAAAGATTTCACAATCTCACTCTTCTCAAAACCTGGAATTTTAATATTGTCAGAACCACCCAATCTTCAAACAACATCACATTCTGTCAAACATCAAAACACATCTGTTTATTAAATAAAGAGGGTGCAAGGGCAGCTAGAGTATTAACCCTCAAAAAATCATAATTATCTGCTGCTTAGCATCGGTTCACAGTGTTTTCAAGGGGTACTAATCTGCTTCCACATGTATACCCTGTGTGACATTTACATTTTTAGGTTCAACGAGGCCCAACATAATAACATACCATGCCAGATTTTTTACTGCCATTTTTGGTTTAAGTAATTAATCGTGAAGAACATACACTTTTCTTTTTACGACCATAAAATTTTCATTAAAGTTTATTTTCATATTTCTGACGCAGAACTAAAACAGAAAATTAAAAAAGCTGTAGACTTAATTACTATTCTAAATATCAAAGAAGCCCGCACATCAAACTATTTGATTTAGATTTTTTTTCTCCTGTCGACCCATCAATAAAAAAAAAATAAAATGTTTTCATAAAATAAAATGTTTTACCTACCTACCCTACCTAATTTTTTTCAAGGTGAAATAGGAAACACACTATTAATTTATTTTGGCCTTAAAGACATGGATATGGATTTCAATGTAAGTGTATATTATGAAAGAACAAACATGACCATATATTAAATAATGCTGACTCAGACCACTACAAATGAACACTAAAATGAGAAGAAACACAAGTTATAAAAATATATTGTATTTGGTTTTTTGTAGTAAATAGTCAAAATATGATTTTTTCTTTGAACAGTATGCCTTACTTTTTGTGCTACAGTTCTACAGGTGATGAAATATTATATTAAGGTGGTACCAAACCCCTTGACTAAAATTAATTTGGCTTGTAATTTTCATTAAATTTGGACAAAATTTTACTTTGAGCCTTTGACAAAAATATGAAAATTTCAAAAAACTTGAACCACACAATTTATCGGAAAAAACTCATCGAATCTATAGCAGTTTGACACACACAAATTTTTATCATTCAAAAGCTTAATATTTCCTTAACAATAAGTGATTTAGACATTCAGCTGATTTTACAGAGTTATCTCCCTGTTGTGTTATGTACCACCTTAAAACAGCATTTTTAAGGTCCACAGAGTACTGATTTCAGATGAAATTTCATTATAAGAAAATTCTGTTGACATGTAAACTTCTAGTATCATTCATATAGATCAAGAGGAATACATGTTGAAATGTGATATTGGTATAAAGATTGAATTATAGTGAAAAAGTTTTCAAACTGATTTTTTCAGATGATAGTCAACAATGTGGAACAAATGCATAGCCTGAAAAAAGAGGTGTTTTTCAGAGAAGCTAATGGGAAACTCAGATGGGCTCTTAGAAGTGGTCGGTTTGGTCCATTTACAGAAGAGTTTGTAAGTTTTAATAATTACATGTTATTGCAGTATATATCAAATGGTATAAAAAAGTTGTAGTTCCTTTTATCTTCAAAGTCATGCCATTTTATAACAATGTGTTTACCTCAGCATTAAAAAGTTTTAAGAAATCATTTTTATAATTATAATGATTGTATTCAAATGTTTCTGAAAAATGAGAAAATAAATAAATTTGGAGGTAGCTACAAAATCTGATTGTTGTATTTTTCATTTTCTTCAGTTTGACACTGATAATGAAATCACGTAGAAAAGCGCCTTCTTATACCGGATATATATATATATATATGTATAAATAACATTTGTTTTACATATGAAAAGTATGCCTTAATTATATTCATCTCTCATTCAATTGTAAAATCTTGAACAAAATAATCTTTTTTGGAAAATGAGGCTTGCTTGTTTATATGTAATTAGAAAATGAGTTGATATATACCAAAACTAGAAAATTAATTTATTATTTCAATTTTAAGTCAGACTAAAAGGGATGTTTAGAATTGTTACTTTGGGAAAATCAAAGTATAATTGATTTGTTATGTTAAAATTGCAAATTCTTATTTTTTTTAAATCAAATGATTGTGTTGATATTATTTTCTTTTGGCTTAATTTTAGACATGTTTTATTTAGCATTTTATTCTTATTTTTTTTAGGTTTTGATACAAGTTCTATGTAAAAAAGAAGAAGTAAGTTCTATGTAAAAAAGAAGAAGTAAACAGGCTGGTGGCTGAACTGGTTCTTCTGAGACATAAATCATGCTGACCACTGTATATCATTTCATGTTGACCACTGCATATCATTGTTACATCCATTTTCATTTTTATTTTTTTTCTTCAAAAAACTTTTATCTGTAGATATTTGTAGCAAAACATATTGACTAAACCTATATTTAAAGTGACAGTCCATATATTTGAATTTGTTTTATGATTTATAATCTCTTATATCAACTTTTTTATTCGAAAATATTAATCCTTAGCTGAAAATGTCGCTCAAATTTATCACACAAAACCTTTTTTGGAACCCAATAATAAAGTAAAGATTTTTCTATGCTTTTTCCAAAAATATAATAAAAAGTATGGGTCACCGTGCTTATTTTCAAGCTACGGGTTGTACGAAATTGCACAAATTTGCTTAGATTGTTTATGAAAAAACACATTTTTGTGCTTAAAAAGAAATCTATAAGATAGAATTTTGAAATATGATATGAGAAGATAGGTTTTATAATATGCTTTAAGAAAATAAAAAGAAAAAATGGTGTCACCGAACTTGTTTTCTTGCTACAAGTAAAAAATTAAAATTTCCCTATCAGTCCAGTATAAATTTTTTACTAAAAGAGTTATCTCCCCTTAAATGGCCAAGCTGAAAAATGATTCTAAAAACACAATTATTTGGTATTTATTTAAACATTTTTAATAATGCAATAAAACACCAAGTTTTCTTTCATTAAATAAACAGTCTAACCTATAAATTGCCTATCTGTCTCCTAATTTGCAGATTTGGGCAAAGATCTAGACCGATTGTGTACTGCGATTGTACAATCCAAGATGGCGGTATACCATGAATCTACCTTAACATTGTATCATTTGTGTTGTTTTCTGAAGTTTATTATTGTGTCATATATGTAATATATGTTTTGGTTGCAATAGCATGTAAATTTATTTCTGCAAATAAACTCATTTCATTTATTGATTCATATTCAATTATATAAATTTTCAAGGCTTGAAAGAGTCAGATTTTACCATGACTAATACAGAAATTATGTTTTTTCTACAATCATTGAAGTAGTTGAAATTGACATTGATATCTCATTTATATTGATCACATATTATACAATGTGTGTTATATCATATAAGTACACACTAATGTTTTATTAAATAACTAGTTATTTACATATGCTATATTGCTATTCAAATTTGTTTTATTACTATTGATAAACATCACAACCATAGATCCTATTACTGTTATTCCTAATAGGAATCCATCTACTACATTAACAAAAGAAAATTTGTTGGAAATGTTTAAATCAATTTTTTCCATCAAACCGGATTAATTTTATCTAATTTATTATATTTCTTTGTAAAATATTGAATTTTAAGTTTAGGACTGTTAGGCATGTATAAAATTTTTTTTTTATAATTATGAATAAATATTTTTTAAATTTATTTGTTTATTATTTATGCTGCAAATGTAAAGAAGATAACTTTACAAAATCAGTTATGAAAAGGGCAACATCATTTACAGATATCTTTTCCATCTGTTTTTTTTTTCTTCAGAACTTTGATTTAATCAAAAGTTTATCAATGATATGCTGTTTTTAATTACAAACTGGCAGATCACTCCAACTTCATCAAAAATTACCTTGACCAAAAACTTAAACCTGAAGCAGTACAAAAAATGAAAGGACATACAGACCGAAAAACATAATGCTCCTAAGTGGGGCATGAAAACAAAAATGCCAATATTCTATATAGATATAAGAAGATGTGGTATGAGTGACAATGAGACAACTCTCCATCCAAGTCAAAATTTATAAAAGTAAACCATTATAGGTCACAGTACAGTCTTCAACACAGAGCCTTGGCTCACACCGAACAGTAAGCTATAAAGGGCCCCAAAAAATTACTAGTGTAAAACCATTCAAACGGGAAAACCAACGGTCTAATCTATATAAAAAACGAGAAACACTTAAGCACCACATCAACAAACGACAACTACTGAACATCAGATTCCTGATGAATATATGCATGAAATGATATCAAACGAAACTACATTGTACCAGGTGCACAAAGTCAACAACAGATTAGCATTATACCACATTGAACAACAACTAAAACCTAGACCATATATGAACTTTTATCTTACCTCCTATGGATTTATGGGGATATGATTGGTTAACAGACTACACACTCTCACCCCATATGGAATTTACTGACCCAGTATATATCGTATTAGGCCACTAACACACCATGTAACCAATAGTATATGAAAACTACCGTTACAAGAAAAATTCATGGTATATGTGCATTTAAATTAGAGCTTTAAACATGGATGTTTGCTGTCATTGTATGGTTCAACTTTGCCAAAAGCTTAAGATGTTTTCTCTTTTTGTCTCGCTTGACGGAGTCAAAAAGCGAGACATAGTTATGCTGTTTCCGGTGTCGGCGGCGTCAACAATGTATTTGTTTGTGATTAGGTCTAGTTTATGGTGAACCGCTAGTGGTAAGTCAAAGTTATTTGGTAAGCAGCTGTATTAGTATTGGTACATCTCATTACCATGGAGATTATTTGGCCCCGCCCCCTCAGTTATGGTCTATTAACTTTGAAATTTTTGCTTAGTTTTCATGTATTAGTTTGTGATTAGGTCAGTTTATGGGGAACCACTAGTGGTAAGTTAATGATAATTGGTATACAGTTGTATAAGCATTGGCATATCTCATTTCCATGGAGATTATTTGGCACCGCCCCCTCAGTCATGGTCTATTGACTTTGAAACTTTTGCTTAGTTTTCATGTATTAGTTTGTGATTAGGTCGGTTTATGGGGAACTTCTAGTGGTAGGTCAATGATATTTGGTATGCAGTTGGATTAGCATTGGCACATCTCATTACCATGGAGATTATTTGACCCTGCCCCCTCGGTTATGGTTTATTGACTCTGAAGTTTTGCTTAGTTTACATGTATAAGTTTGTGTTTAGGTTTGTTTAAAGGGAGTTACTTATGATAAGTCAATGGTATTTGGTATGCAGTTGTATTAGCATTGGCACATCTCATTTCCATGGAGATTGTCTAGCCATGTACCTTTAGTCATGGTTCATTGACTTTGAATATTTGCAAAACTTACATGTTAAAGTGTTGCTATTTTAATTTCAACATTTGCATTATCGAAATTACTAAAAAGCGAGACATATCTCTGTTATATAGGGTTTATACCCGTCGAATAACTGTGTCTCATTGGTGTATGAACGTTATATAGGGTTTATACTCACCGAATAACTGTCTCCTTGGTGTATGAATGTTTTATATGGAATATATCCATCGAATAACTGTGTCTCATTGGTGTATGAACGTTATATAGGGTTTATACCCATCGAATAACTGTGTCTCATTGGTATATGAACGTTTTATAGGGAATATATCCATCGAATAACTGTGTCTCATTGGTATCTGAACGTTTGATAGGGTATATACCCATCGAATAACTGTGTCTCATTGGTATATGAACGTTATATAGGGTTTATACCCATCGAATAACTGTGTCTCATTGGTGTATGAATGTTATATACGGTATATACCCATCGAATAACTGTGTCTCATTGGTGTATGAACGTTATATACGGTATATACCCATCGAATAACTGTGTCTCATTGGTATATGAACGTTATATAGGGTTTATACCCGTCGAATAACTGTGTCTCATTGGTATATGAACGTTACATACGGTATATACCCATCGAATTACTCTGTCTCATTGGGATATGAACGTTATATACGGTATATACCCATCGAGTAACTGTGTTTCATTGGTATATGAATGTTACATACGGTATATACCCATCGAATTACTCTGTCTCATTGGTGTATGAACGTTATATAGGGTTTATACTCATCGAATAACTGTCTCCTTGGTGTATGAACGTTTTATATGGAATATATCCATCGAATAACTGTGTCTCATTGGTGTATGAACGTTATATAGGGTTTATACCCATCGAATAACTGTGTCTCATTGGTATATGAACGTTTTATAGGGAATATATCCATCGAATAACTGTGTCTCATTGGTGTCTGAACGTTTGATAGGGTATATATCCATCGAATAACTGTGTCTCATTGGTATATGAACGTTATATAGGGTTTATACCCATCGAATAACTGTGTCTCATTGGTTGTATGAATGTTATATACGGTATATACCCATCGAATAACTGTGTCTCATTGGTGTATGAACGTTATATACGGTATATACCCATCGAATAACTGTGTCTCATTGGTATATGAACGTTATATAGGGTTTATACCCGTCGAATAACTGTGTCTCATTGGTATATGAACGTTACATACGGTATATACCCATCGAATTACTCTGTCTCATTGGGATATGAACGTTATATACGGTATATACCCATCGAGTAACTGTGTTTCATTGGTATATGAATGTTACATACGGTATATACCCATCGAATTACTCTGTCTCATTGGTGTATGAACGTTATATAGGGTTTATACTCATCGAATAACTGTCTCCTTGGTGTATGAACGTTTTATATGGAATATATCCATCGAATAACTGTGTCTCATTGGTGTATGAACGTTATATAGGGTTTATACCCATCGAATAACTGGGTCTCATTGGTGTCTGAACGTTTGATAGGGTATATATCCATCGAATAACTGTGTCTCATTGGTATTTGAACGTTATATAGGGTTTATACCCATCGAATAACTGTGTCTCATTGGTTGTATGAATGTTATATACGGTATATACCCATCGAATAACTGTGTCTCATTGGTGTATGAACGTTATATACGGTATATACCCATCGAATAACTGTGTCTCATTGGTATATGAACGTTATATAGGGTTTATACCCGTCGAATAACTGTGTCTCATTGGTATATGAACGTTACATACGGTATATACCCATCGAATTACTCTGTCTCATTGGGATATGAACGTTATATACGGTATATACCCATCGAGTAACTGTGTTTCATTGGTATATGAATGTTACATACGGTATATACCCATCGAATTACTCTGTCTCATTGGTGTATGAACGTTATATAGGGTTTATACTCATCGAATAACTGTCTCCTTGGTGTATGAACGTTTTATATGGAATATATCCATCGAATAACTGTGTCTCATTGGTGTATGAACGTTATATAGGGTTTATATCCATCGAATAACTGGGTCTCATTGCTGTATGAACGTTTTATAGGGAATATATCCATCGAATAACTGTGTCTCATTGGTGTATGAACGTTATATAGGGTTTATACCCATCGAATAACTGTGTCTCATTGGTATATGAACTTTTTATAGGGTTTATACTCATCGAATAACTGTCTCCTTGGTGTATGAACGTTTTATATGGAATATATCCATCGAATAACTGTGTCTCATTGCTGTATGAACGTTATATAGGGTTTATACCCATCGAATAACTGTGTCTCATTGCTGTATGAACGTTTTATATGGAATATATCCATCGAATAACTGTGTCTCATTGGTGTATGAACGTTATATAGGGTTTATACCCATCAAATAACTGGGTCTCATTGCTGGATGAACGTTTTATAGGGAATATATCCATCGAATAACTGTGTCTCATTGGGATATGAACGTTATATAGGGTTTATACTCATCGAATAACTGTCTCCTTGGTGTATGAACGTTTTATATGGAATATATCCATCGCATAACTGTGTCTCATTGGTGTATGAACGTTATATAGGGTTTATACCCATCGAATAACTGGGTCTCATTGCTGTATGAACGTTTTATATGGAATATATCCATCGAATAACTGTGTCTCATTGGTGTATGAACGTTTTATAGGGTATATACCCATCGAATAACTGTCTCTCATTGGTATATGAATGTTACATACGGTATATACCCATCGAATTACTCGGTCTCATTGGGATATGAACGTTTTATAGGGTTTATACCCATCGAATAACTGTCTCATTGGAATATAGGGTTTATACCCATCGAATAACTGGGTCTTATTGCTGTATGAACGTTTTATAGGGAATATATCCATCGAATAACTGTGTCTCATTGGTGTCTGAACGTTTTATAGGGTATATACCCATCGAATAACTGTCTCATTGGTATATGAACGTTATATACGGTATATACCCATCGAATAACTGTGTCTCATTGGTATATGAACGTTATATAGGGTTTATACCCATCGAATAACTGTGTCTCATTGTCGTATGAACGTTATATAGGGTTTATACCCATCAAATAACTGGGTCTCATTGCTGTATGAACGTTTTATAGGGAATATATCCATCGAATAACTGCGTCTCATTGGTGTATGAACGTTATATAGGGTTTATACCCATCAAATAACTGGGTCTCATTGCTGTATGAACGTTTTATAGGGAATATATCCATCGAATAACTGTGTCTCATTGGGATATGAACGTTATATAGGGTTTATACTCATCGAATAACTGTCTCCTTGGTGTATGAACGTTTTATATGGAATATATCCATCGAATAACTGTGTCTCATTGGTGTATGAACGTTATATAGGGTATATACCCATCGAATAACTGGGTCTCATTGCTGTATGAACGTTTTATATGGAATATATCCATCGAATAACTGTGTCTCATTGGTGTATGCACGTTTTATAGGGTATATACCCATCGAATAACTGTCTCTCATTGGTATATGAATGTTACATACGGTATATACCCATCGAATTACTCGGTCTCATTGGGATATGAACGTTTTATAGGGTTTATACCCATCGAATAACTGTCTCATTGGAATATAGGGTTTATACCCATCGAATAACTGGGTCTTATTGCTGTATGAACGTTTTATAGGGAATATATCCATCGAATAACTGTGTCTCATTGGTGTCTGAACGTTTTATAGGGTATATACCCATCGAATAACTGTCTCATTGGTATATGAACGTTATATACGGTATATACCCATCGAATAACTGTGTCTCATTGGTATATGAACGTTATATAGGGTTTATACCCATCGAATAACTGTGTCTCATTGTCGTATGAACGTCATATACGGTATATACCCATCGAATAACTGGGTCTCATTGCTGTATGAACGTTTTATAGGGAATATATCCATCGAATAACTGCGTCTCATTGGTGTATGAACGTTATATAGGGTTTATACCCATCAAATAACTGGGTCTCATTGCTGTATGAACGTTTTATAGGGAATATATCCATCGAATAACTGTGTCTCATTGGTGTATGAACGTTTTATAGGGTATATACCCATCGAATAACTGTGTCTCATTGGTATATGAACGTTATATACCCATCGAATTACTCGGTCTCATTGGGATATGAACGTTTTATAGGGTTTATACCCATCGAATAACTGTCTCATTGGAATATAGGGTTTATTCCCATCGAATAACTGTATCATTGGTGTATGAAAGTTTTATAGGGTATATACCCATCGAATAACTGTGTCTCATTGGTATATGAACGTTATATAACTCAGTCATCAGTTCATTTTTTTTTTCATTTGAAGTCACTGAAGCGCTCAAAGGCAAAACATCATCAGTAAATAGATATGTTATATGGAAATATATCGTGTAATGCACAACAGCAGTTTGTTTAGTACAAACATAACCATTGTATTTCACATCATTTTGATTTCTGTCACACATCTTTTGAGTCAGTTGAAAAATCTTTTGAACATATTTTTTAATACCTTAGTAGAACTATTTATCTGAAAGAGTTTTCTTTCATTTACCTACTTGGCATCAACCTTTGACTGCTCTGGTTTGTTGTTGTTTGTAAATATGTGTGACTGGTAAATAATATTTACTGACCAAACTTCCACACCTTTTTGTCTAATACCAAATCTCATTCTTGATTGGCAACACTATTCGACAGTTATACTGCCAGAGATACAATAAGAACGATATGCATAAAGAAATTTTATTGGAGAATGAAATATGTATACATCAATTTATAGGCTTACAAATGTGACTGCACATCAAGAAAATTCCATACCTTGGTTCTTTTTATTTTTCTTTCTTTTAAATAAAATAAAAACCCAACATTTATATAAATATGCTTTGTTATTAAAAAACTGTACTTAATGGACCCTGGACTCATCATGCCGCTATTGTGGTCAATGAAAGAGGACAACATTAACTGCCAAAAAACCAAGTGATGTCTATTTATAAATAAAATACAGAAAATGAAAAAAGAATCAAGGTTTTCTCATATTGCTACCTCTTTATCATGAAGAAGCGATCTATTATCTAAATTTTGTAGATCATAGTTTTGAAGAAGGTATTTAAAATTCAACAAACTTAAATAAAATAGATTCATGTATTTTGATATTCTGTAGTGTTGGAAGAAAATGCTTTTAAAAATATCATCGTTACATGTTGTCTGTTTTGAACTAGCTTTCAGTTCCTTTGTTTTCTCCTACATCGCTACTCTTTTGTCATTTGTAAGTTGTTTTTTGGGCTTTGTGCCAATACAACGAGTCATACCATTTTGATGTTTAGTTGTTATATCACAGTCTACTGTTCTCATGTTAGGGGAAGGGTTGCACGCTCACAACCACGTTAACTCCTAATCAATCTGTGATAAAAGTCCCAAATAAAGGGCCTGTCTTCCATAGATTGGAATTGGTTGCCATCTTAGAATACTTCTCATTGGCAATCATACCACATTTCCTTATTTTAGATTAAGCATATACCTCAAACATAGATATTTAGTAACACTTTGTAGCTTGATATTATAGGCAAGTCGCATTCCTGGAAGTGGATACCTGACAATGGTAACTGGTTATAACATTTCTTTGACATAAAATCAAAATCTTTCATAGGATTATAAAATACAAATTCATCAACATGTTACTTCTTATGTTGGGTAATAAAGACACTCCAAGATACTTAATCCGTTACATGTTAATATAGAAAAAGTTGAAGTCCATTAAAAAAAGATTTCATTACAGACCATAGGAATGTACGATTACTCTGTCTCGCGTCTGATACATAAATTTGCAGACTCAAAAAATAATAATTAAAAATGTTCTTATATACAACATAGTATATGAACAAATAATAATAAATAGAACTGCAGTCTTCAATTCATTTGTGCCATTTAATGACAATAACAACAATAAAGTTCTCAGTCAAAATAAAAAACATAATATCTCCTTGACAGACAACAGCTTCTTTCGTCTTCTTGACCACATCCTGATAAAAAACAAAATAAAATTAAGAAAACATTAGACAATTTATTGAATTTATGAGCACAATTTTTTTTAAATTAGATGTTTACATTAAATGAATGTACACATTGATTGATAAATTTTTGTTTAGAAGCAGTCAAAATAACTATGCAACTCCTTTTGATTTTTTTTTATAAAATTTATGCCTTTATCATTACTATATATATAATAAAATATTAATTTTCGCGAACCATTTAGGTCACAGAAATTCCAAAAAATGGCATCAGTAAGGAGAGTTGTACAAATGATGTGAATACACAGAACCCGGATCCAATTTATCTTTTACTAAAAGTATTCATCATTTTCTGTTTTGTATGTACTAACAACATTTCATTTTTCTACAATTTCGATTAAAATATTATAAAACCTGCAGTTCAATAGGTCACATGCCCCAAATAAACATTCCCCGATTGGTCGAACTACTGTGGCCTCGGTGTAAAGCAACGCAAGCCTCGATGTAAAGATCACGCTTCTAATTACTATATATATAATAAAATATTAATTTTCGCGAACCATTTAGGTCACAGAAATTCCAAAAAATGGCATCAGTAAGGAGAGTTGTACAAATGATGTGAATACACAGAACCCGGATCCAATTTATCTTTTACTAAAAGTATTCATCATTTTCTGTTTTGTATGTACTAACAACATTTCATTTTTCTACAATTTCGATTAAAATATTATAAAACCTGCAGTTCAATAGGTCACATGCCCCAAATAAACATTCCCCGATTGGTCGAACTACTGTGGCCTCGGTGTAAAGCAACGCAAGCCTCGATGTAAAGATCACGCTTCTAAAAATAGAGGTATGTCCCAACTTAACATTCCCCGATTGGTTGAATTGCTGCTCGATGTAAAGCAACGGAAGCCTTGATGCAATGAAGAAAATGGGTTGACAGGATAAACGTAATCGTTATGAATTTTAACTTCATGGTTCTTATGCAAGCAAATTTAATAAACAATGATTTTATACAGTTGTGTTATTGTTTTCACCTTACATAGGGCTTTATTTCTGATCTTATTTCTGTGTACACAATTCTGAATCTACATATTTCACCTACATCAATATTAGGTAATCCGTTTGGACGATTCCATATACTATTATGTTTTAGGGTTTTATAGCTTTAGTGTCGAGTTGGTGTATAGTATTGAGGGCTATCTGCGAGAAATAAATCCTTTTTTCTGATAGATTAACTAAATTCAAAACCAATATAAAAATAGTTAACACATATATTTTATTTAACTGAGTAAATTGATCGGAATGTGAATGATACATAAACCTAAAATTCGTTTTGGTCTATCCCAGTGATGACATTTGCGCGGGAATTTAGTCCATTGACATCGTAATATAATTTACTTTGGATTGTAATTATCTTTAGATGTAATGTTACAGGATTTAATGTGAAATTATTTGTCTCTTCTTTTATAGTACACGAGTTTGACGTCAGGTTTGTACACATGAAGTCTCTAGTCTAAAAAAGCCAGTGACAGAACGATAAACAGATAAGCAACTGTCTAGGGCCAAGTAAGGGAGGTGAAAAAGCCAGTATTACGCAGAACGATAAACAGTTACATATATAGACGGATCCAGGGGGTGGGGAAAATTTGTTGATTTTATAGGGAAGCCTGGGCGGATCCAGCTATTTTATAAAAGGGGGGTTCACAACTCGGGACAAAGGGTGGGGGGGGGGGGGGGGGGGGGGTTCCAACTATGTGTCCCCATTCAAATGCATTGATCGTCCAAAAAAAGGGGGGGTTCCAACCCTCGGAACCGTCCCCCCGGATCCGCCACTGGGGAAGCATGACGGGAGTGGGCAACCCTTAGGTCAGTCAGCGGCCACCCCCCTTTTATGAAAAGTTGTGGATCCGCCACTGAGATTTATATAAGCATGTTTTCTTTGTGTAGATACCTTAAAATATCACCAACTGTGACTGAGTACACAATTTGATTCATTTTAGCTCATTAGCTGGGCTCACTCGCTAAAAAGGTTCATTGCGGGCCTGCTCACTGGCTAACATTTTACGATATTCATGACTCGTGTAGAAAAGCCGATAATCTATACATGTGTGTGAGGAGTAGTTATCAAGCTTGCTTTCGTCTGTAAAAACTGTCTTAGGCCAAGTGAGGGAGGTGAAAAAGCCAGTAATAGAACGATAAACAGATGATCAGGTTTTCTTCATATAGATCCCTTAAAATATCCCCCACTGAGGACACAATTTGATTCATTTTAGCCATAATAGGTTCATTGCGGCTTACCGGCTAATATGTGCAGAAAAGCTGATAACCTATACATACATGTACATGTATATAGTCAGATCATATGTTTTCGTTCGTCATATGAATTTGTACTATGCATGCCTTTTCAATGGAAATTGTGACGACAGTATGCATTCTTAATAGCACGAAAAAACGATGAGAAGAGGATACATATGTCAACCAAAATTTTTCAGCAACGTCAAAATATGTGAGGACACCCTATCAAGATCTATTAAGCTTGCGTTCATGTTGCGTTAAAACTGTTTTAGGAAGGTGAAAAATACCAACAATATAACAATAAATAGATAATCGATATTGTAAGTGTTGAAAAGCCAATGGTCTACATATATACTTAAATATGTCAACCATAAAATAAAACTGATTTAATTTACAGCACAACTGTTGAAAAAACCTTTATGTTTATATAACTTATCTCATTCTAGTCCAATCAACTGACAGAATCAGTGTACATTTCATGAACTCTTTAATAACAATAATCATCATGGACTATTCTTTATAGCAATATCTGTTAGCCATTTAGGGTTCTTTTGCATTCAAAGTTTAGTTTTAGTGGGTTTATTTTGCGAAAAAGAACTCAATTTCCAGATCAAAGTTAACATTTACTATATATTTTGTTGTGTCAAAATGACCTAATGAATATAAAGGACAGTACCCATATAGACCCAAAAATGGTATATCACATTCTACACATGACATTTTAGCAGGAAAGACTGCCATTGGAGTATATAACTTTTAACCTGTGTATGTATAATTAAAATATGATAATAAAATTCATATCTTTTTCAGGACTTCTGATCGAACCATGTACATGTAGTATGGCATGTTTGTGAGATATGGTTTGGTGGATAGGATGTTCATGAAGGACCTGTAGTACAAAGTATATCACTGGATTGAGCTCTTTGTCTAAGTGTATTATGAAAGTGCTTTGCTTTGAGCTCGGTTCATTGTTATGCAATTCATTCTTTGTGAAATAAAGATTTGACAGACAACTCTCATGTACAAGGATTTGTCAGGGTAGTATCCATTCTATGTACAATGTAAGTAATAAGGAGATAAAAGCATTTTATTATGATTTGAACCAAACATTTTTTGTCCTTTAACCAAATTTAAAAAAAAGAACAAATTTACCCGACAATGCTACACTCGCTACTAGCAATATGATGCTAGGTTGTTTTAATACATCTGTACTGCCTACTGATGACTCGGTCCTGAGTGTAAATGGTCATTCAGTATGTTAAAAAAAAAAAAAAAATTTATAAGGCCTATCTGGCCTAATTGATTTCTAAAACTATATTTCATTGTACATGTTCAACATTTTTCATTCATTTGTTTATTTCTTAATTTGTGTGAATTAACATTGTTACAGTAAATGTTAATAACTACACTTTCATACCACAACAAATACTGTATTGGTATCACTTATATTTCTATCCATACATGTATAACAAAAAAATTGAAAAGAGAATAATTTTGCAATACCTTTTTCATATTGAATACTATAACTTTTTTTGATATTTAGACATATTAAGTAGATTTTCATAATACCCACTTGACATGCTTGAAATTCTATCAGATTACTTTTGGAGCAGTTATGAGTCTTTGAAGCATGCTCACAAAGGTTTTTTTGTTGATATCGTTTTCATATTGGTCAAAACTTTTTTTTGCTTCGGCCAGCTTTGGAGGAGATGTTATCAAAGAATTGATAAAAAACAACACAGAAGTTTACTTTCTAGCTCATCTAGCCCCAAGCATCATGTCAGGCATTTTCATTACTAAAAACCAATAAATGTCTTCTAATCTGAGAAATAATTTCGACATTTTAACAAAATATTTTACTAATGATACTGACAATCCACCACAAAGTAATATAAATAGAACCATACAAATAGTGAGCAAATACATATAAAAAAGATGTGGTATGATTGCCAATGAGACAATTCTCCACAACAGACCAAAATGACACAGAAATTAACAACTACGGGTCACCGTACAGCCTTCAACAATGAGCAAAGCCCATAACGCATAGTCATTTATGTTATTTATGTACACAAAATAAACGAAAAACAAATATTATGTAACACATAGACAAACAACAACCACTGAATTGCAGCCTCCTGATATCATGTTCTCAGATATCATCTCCCATTTAAAAAAAAATCACATGAAAAAATGAACCTATTATGTGATGCTCTCCTAGCTACAAAATTTATCCAAAATCAAAGATGTGGAAAATATTCTATCATAATCATTTGGTCATTAATGCAATTAGTGTCTCTTTCATGCCCTCTTGAACATAAAATCTAAATATTAAATAAACAACTCCTCATGCTCAGGTTGGTTGTCATCGTGCAACACAGTTAATAACACCATATAGGAAAAACATAGAACTCCTTTTGTCATAAAAAACACTGTCAAACATCCAAACATACTATCCACATTCATCTGTGTCCACACTTGTATATATTATAAGATATATGTATAACTAAACAAGTAATTAATGTAAAAGTTAATTCATAAATTAGAGTACAGGTATGTAAACCATGCATATTCTAGGAAAGTTCAGATATCTTAAATGAGGATTTCATGTTGAAAGGTAATTTTGTATACAGTTTGTACATGTTTAATCTAAATCAATGTTAAGACATGATGGTCTTGACTTGTCCAAGATGGATGAAAGCCATAGAGAATACAGCAATCATAAAAAGTTCTTGCTTTTTTATTTGTAGTTATATACTCTAAATCTGTACACATTTGAAAAGACTTTGATGAATATATCAATTTATATACCTTTAACAATTCATTGATAGTTCTCTGGTTCTTCTGACCTGAAAAAGAACAACCAAAAAACAGAGCCAGTATACATTTAAAATGAAAATTATTTAAGCCACTCAACATCAAACACAGGTTTAGATCAAACCATGAACAATTTCCTTGTTTAACATGATGCAATTTATGAAGAGATTAACCATACTTTATTTTTTCTTTCATTTGTTGAGGGGGTTGTTAGGTGTTCCTCATTGACTGATACCACATATTGCTCTATATTCAAATTTCTGTCACAAAAATTTGGAAATTCTTAATTTATTGGGAAGCATCATCTTTTTTAAAAAAAAAATTTGACCTTTAGGCCAAAATAAATTAATAGTGTGTTTCCTATTTCACCTTGAAAAAAATTAGGTAGGGTAGGTAGGTAAAACATTTTATTTTATGAAAACATTTTATTTTTTTTTTATTGATGGGTCGACAGGAGAAAAAAAATCTAAATCAAATAGTTTGATGTGCGGGCTTCTTTGATATTTAGAATAGTAATTAAGTCTACAGCTTTTTTAATTTTCTGTTTTAGTTCTGCGTCAGAAATATGAAAATAAACTTTAATGAAAATTTTATGGTCGTAAAAAGAAAAGTGTATGTTCTTCACGATTAATTACTTAAACCAAAAATGGCAGTAAAAAATCTGGCATGGTATGTTATTATGTTGGGCCTCGTTGAACCTAAAAATGTAAATGTCACACAGGGTATACATGTGGAAGCAGATTAGTACCCCTTGAAAACACTGTGAACCGATGCTAAGCAGCAGATAATTATGATTTTTTGAGGGTTAATACTCTAGCTGCCCTTGCACCCTCTTTATTTAATAAACAGATGTGTTTTGATGTTTGACAGAATGTGATGTTGTTTGAAGATTGGGTGGTTCTGACAATATTAAAATTCCAGGTTTTGAAAAGAGTGAGATTGTGAAATCTTTTGTCTTATTAATGAGGGTAGTAATGCCCTTTACCGTCAGGCGTCAAACGGTCATTATCGGCTACCGTTAGCGTCAAATTGGTTAAAATTTTACCTTAATTCATCAAAATATCCTGATCGTGATTCTTCAGAGCAAGGATTTGTATACTATACAAATCCTTGGTCAGAAGTCTCAAATAATTATCGAAACCGTTATTTTTGGAAAATTTTTTACGTGATTCGTCAAAACCAGTCGATTTTTTTACCATCTAAAAGAAAATGTACATTTTATCGTCATGCACCAAAAATTACCGTTAAAGTCGTTTGGCAAGATTTTTTAGCGTTATTGTGTCTACATATGTTACAGAAGTTCCACTGGAAACTTTGTTATAACCAATGTCATAATATTTGTTCCTGTTGGAACAAATATTCTAAACCATTCATTCTGTTGGGAACATATACTGTAAAATTTATTCCAGAACACTTTTTCCAGTTGGAACTTCTATTATGAAGGAACTTCTATTTCGTGACAATTCGTCATGAATGTACCTCATTAATCTACTGGTCAAATAAATTGCAGATGTAAATATGACAGGATTTTTTCCCTTTTCTTTTATAAATTGTTATGGGACCAGCCAGAGAAATAAAAAAGAATAAAAGTAGACATGGTGCTGGGGCAGATTCATTTATAAATGAATATGAATCATACACCATGTCTGCCTACTGGGGAAAGCTTCTCAAGTTTCACCTTTCTCATTCCACATTGTCTGTCCCCTTGTCATCATAAACTAAAAAGCATTAACAGCCATTTGTGTTGCGTCCTGAGCACAATTCTGTACAACATTCGTAAGAGCATGTTTTACATCAAAAGCTGGATGGATTTTAGCAGTAAATTTGAACTCATTTTACTTTAAAATTGTTAGTCAATTTACCGACAGATACAGTCTGTCCAACCTGAAACGATTCTGACTTTTGGTCCAAAGAAGCACAGGTACAAGACTAGATTTAGTTAATATATGTATATATACTGAATACACTATTCATTATATATACAAATATTTAAAAAATCTCGCTTGTACCTGTACAAAGAAGTTGAGCATAGTGCTTCAACTTCATATTTTTTTGTCTATAGGTCCGCTTGATGTTCTTCAAAAAGATTCATCATATCGTAATTATCCGGAACTGATGTCATTATATTTTGCGTCTATGTGATCACATTTCACATATTTGACAGCTAATACGCTACACGGTTGCCGAAAAGCCATGCTTGTTTATTTAAAATCTTGGTCCTTGAAACGCTTTACTTAACAATATTGGTCGTTATTATCAAACGCTTTGAAGATCTATAGTACTCTAAACGAATAATCGGATCCGGACAGACTGAAAAATCCGGATTTTGAATTTTTATTTTCATTTTTGTCAATAAAATGTTTAGGGTCGGCGTCGGAAACGGAGGTAGGGTCGGGAAACCGGAAACACACCATTTATTTATTTTGGCCTTATTCAACAAACTGATATCAAAATCAATATGGATCTTTGTCACATTATATTTGAAAAATCATCCCCATTTAATTGAACACTTCAGTGATGCATATTATACAAAAGATAATTTTTCTCTCATATTTATTTGAAAATAATTCTTTGTTATGACAATATACTTTTCTACTTTGCCTTTTGTATATCCTTACTGCTTACAAACCAATATGCCATGAATGAAAATGCCCTTACTATATACTTTTTCTTATTGTTGAAGGCCATATGGTGGAATATAATTGCTAACATCCACAGCTCTTGGACTTTGGTTGATAGTTTTTTCATTGGCAATCATACCAAATCTCATTATTTTTATATTGTCAGAATTCAATGAAAAAACAAACTTGTATAAATTATCAGATTAGGTGTATCTAATGTTATTTTGTTGTTGTTGTCAATTCAGGCTAAATATGCAGCTGCTATATCACATCTCTGTTCAAATGACGAGCGTTTCATTTCACACCACTGATGAATCATGTATTGAAGGTAAAAGCAAAATTTTCCCAATGACATAGATCTGGCAGAATATTTGATTTTCTGAATGAATGAGTTGAACTGCTCACATATCTCTGTGTTCAAGCCCTGCAATGGACAAATTCTCTGGGACTTGTAGCAGAAAGGACATTTGTGACTGTAACCATGAAATAAATCGTGCCAAAATCGTGTATTCTCCCAGAAACCAGGTTCCCTATTCAAACAGTACTCCTCAAACTGACATGAAAAATCATAAAATACCTCTTCTGGAGCATGTTCTAAGTATGAATAGGCAGAAGAGAAAGGGTCTTTCCTCCCTTCAGATCCTGGAATGATATGAAAACCATAACAGTGACCATAGTGCTTAGGGTCAAACCAAAGAAATAAGTAGGTAGTACCACGTCTGGAGACCTCAGGGTATATCTTATTACACTGCTCATCAGACCTAGTAGGTAGGTCATCATAATTCTTTGAATGTGCACTTTCATTCATGGTATAAATTGGAATGTCTCTAAGCTTCTCTCCACTGGGTGTAAAGTAGTAAGCTGCACCATATCTTTCAGGATTGTATGAAGATGGCTGACGGACTGCAGGAGCTGGCTCTTTATTCTTTTCTCTTATACATTGGATTCTTAAGACTAGATACTGAAATAAAGAAATAACATCAGAAAGTGACTGTTCATAAGGTAAAGCAGCATATAAAGTATCACGAATTTCAGGAGAAAAATCAGATATTAAATTTATTCTGTGGTTTTGTGTAGATGTTCTCAATTCCAACAAAATAGAATCCAAAAGATCTGTGTAGCGAAAAGGAATTAAGGATGACAAAGAATGATTTGTTGACAAAAACTTGAATATGACTGCTAATTTCTTCTGTACAGACTCCGGATACTCATTACATACAAATCTGCGCATGATGTCGGAACACTGACGAGAAACTGTTTCAATAAGGAGTGTATTTCTATTGAGTTCTTCTTCAAATTCTAATGTCTGATTTAATTGTCCAAGTGCTTTTTTTGATGTGTATGCAAGGTGATCTCTGCATTTTCTTATTATGGCATCCTGTTGTTCTTGGCTGTTGAAATTCAAGAAACAACGATCATTTCTTCTGTGACATGGGTCAATTTTTTCTGTTGAAGTTGGTTTTTCTATTGGATCTGTATCTGCATTTTTAAAGCTAATACCAATTTTAGTGCCATCACATGCTAAGAATTTTGGGTTGTATTTGCAGATAGAACAAGGCTTTCTGAAATCAGTCTTAAATTTACTACTCCATGAAAACCACCAAGCAATGAATGTTTGAGGGGACATAAATTTAGCAGAATAAAGAAAATTTCTCCTGTATTTTTTGCTCATGATTTTGCAATATGCACTGAAAGTGACATGAGTGTTCAATGCATGATCAACAAAATCCCAGCCAATCTCATCTCCTGCAGCTGTTTCCTTTGAAAGAAAATGGAGGCTGTCTGAAGATCCACCATATTGAACTTGGCAGTCTGCATTTCCTGCCAAGCAATTCCTACCAAATACCTGAAAAAGATGAAAAGCAAATTGCATTTTTCTTCTACAAATTTTAAGTCATAATATCGATGTAACCTGTTTCTGATTCATCAGGGAATTCAAGTATCTGTATAATAATTCTACATCAGTTGAGTAGAAAATATACTATTTAAAATGAAATATCATAACTTTTGATATAACTATGTTCATACTAATTAATGCATAAAAGAAATAGTGAATTTATATAGGTTAGGGTCATATAAAATATTTCTTGGAATCTATTGGCAGGAGCATTTTGTCGGATAAACTAGTATTTTTAAAATACAATTTTGTAGGACATTCTGCACACTACACATTCATATAACACTTCAAAAACAGAATAAATCAATTTTTAATGACTTTGTATAGGGCCCACACTGGAATTTAAAAATTGAGAAATTAATAACCTCACTGGATATGCACTAGCTGGTAAATGTTTGTCTCGTCAATGATATGAATGATATTAGGAATAACAATGAAATAGGCAAATTATAAAAATGACATTCAATATTGTAGTATCTACATCAATTTAAAGTTGTCAAGAAGATCCTGGTCTTATACATTTCATTAAACTGGTTCATAATTAAAAATAAATGTAAGCACACATAGTTCTTAAATTTTAAATAGCTCAAGACTTAGAAAGCATTCTCACTTCAAATCTAGCTGGTCCGTTAGTCAAATACACCACTGTCCTGTACTTCACCTCGGTCAATACCCCATTTGGATGGTCATCATCAGAGTAGCCAGCCTTTAATTAAAAGCATAAAATAAAATGTATAATCTCACTTTTAGCATCATCATTAATTTTTCAGAATTCATTGTATCAGACATGAAAACCCTAAGCAGAAAAATAAAAAATAAAATGTTGAGATATCCATGCAATCTGACATTTTCGATTTTTTATTTAAAACTGACAAAGGTTCAATCTAATAACTGTTGGTTACTAATTTTTACAATGCAACTCATTAGCTATAAAATAATCTGGCGAGATATTTCATTCTAAAATCTAAATAACATGTAAATATCTTGCCATACAAGCTGAGTTAGTTAAGATACTCTTAAACAATAATGTACATCTAGTCTGTCTTTATTACAAATACTAATTATTTTTTCAAAGAATTCCTTTCAAGCCAGTGCTAGGGGCCATCTTCAACTTGCATTGAGGTGATATTTTTTTGTTATTTTTTGTTTGTTTGTGTCGAAGGCCTCACTGGGACTTTCAGATAAAGAACAGCAATAATGGCACTGTTCCTTTGCTTTTTCGTGTTTTTTTTTTGTCATGGATGAAAACCCAACATCCTTTGTTTTCCAATTTTGTTATATTTTGCACTAATAGAATTTGTGCCATTTAGGGCAGAATTTTGTAGTAGAAATTTAATAGAGAAAAAAAATTACCCCACAAAGACATCCATCTTCTAGTACAGGAGGAAAGAGAACAAGTGGATTGTTTCCGGTCAAATACCCTTTAGTGTCTCGAACAACTCCTTCGGCACCATCAAATACAGCTAATCTTTTTTTAATTGCTCGTTGTAAGGCTGGATCATCCTCCTCCTTGGGTCTGTGCTCACTCAAACTTGGGAAATCCCAAAGTCCTGTTGCCAGATTAAAAAAATTTGTCTGAAAATAAAATGTGAAAATATTTAATAAATATAATATAACACACAAAATAAAGTATGCAGCACTATATGAAAAATCTGACATCCTGATGTGAATTATTCTCCATATTTTTTTAGAACATGTATTACAATTGCAAATAAAATGCTCCGCAGGGCGCAGCTTGATACGACCGCAGAGGTCGAACCCTGAACAGTTGGGGCAAGTATGGACACAACATTCAAGCTTGATACAGCTCTGAATTTGGATTGTGATTGAATATTTGACACAGCATAGGTTTCTGACACAGAATGAATGTGGTCTAAGAACTTAAAAATTTTAAATTGGACATTCACCTATTATGGTCCAATATCCAAAATCTAAATACATGGTTAGATTCAGCATATCAAAGAACCCCAAGAATTCAATTTTTGATGAAATCAAACAAAGTTTAATTTTGGACCCCGATTTGGACCAACTTGAAAACTGGGCCCATAATCAAAAATCTAAATACATGTTTAGATTCAGCATATCAAAGAACCCTAAAAATTCAATTTTTGTTAAAATCAAACTAAGTTTAATTTTGGACCCTTTGGACCTTAATGTAGACCAATTTGAAAACGGAACCAAAAATTAAGAATCTAAATACACGGTTAGATTCGGCATATCAAAGAACCCCAATAATTCAATTTTTGATGAAATCAAACAAAGTTAAATTTTGGACCCTTTTGACCTCAATGTGGACAAAGTTGATAACAGGGCCCAAAAATCAAAAATCTAAATACATGGTTAGATTCAGCATATTAAAGAACCCCATATATTCAATTTTTGTTGAAATCAAACAAAGTTTAATTTTGGACCCCGATTTGGACCAACTTGAAAACTGGGCCCATAATCAAAAATCTAAATACATGTTTAGATTCAGCATATCAAAGAACCCTAAAAATTCAATTTTTGTTAAAATCAAACTAAGTTTAATTTTGGACCCTTTGGACCTTAATGTAGACCAATTTGAAAACGGGACCAAAAATTAAGAATCTAAATACACGGTTAGACTCAGCATATCAAAGAACCCCAATAATTCAATTTTTGATGAAATCAAACAAAGTTAAATTTTGGACCCTTTGGACCTCAATGTGGACCAATTTAAAAACGGGGCCCAAAATCCAAAAACTTAATACACGGTTAGATTCAGCATATTAAAGAACCCCAAGAATTCAAGAATAAAACCCCATTGAAATTGATCAAGAAATAAGCAATTTATACGAAGTATCTTCTTTTGCACAATACTGTGCAATTGAATATTTCTTGCTATTGCGCAATACTGTGCAATTGACAATTTCTTGCTATTGCGCAATATTGTGCTATTGGATATTTCTTGCTATTGCGCAATACTGTGCAATTGAAGATTTCTTGCTATTGCGCAATACTGTGCAATTGAAGATTTCTTGCTATTGTGCAATACTGTGCAATTGAAAATTTCTTGCTATTGCACAATACTTATTAGATAATAATTTACACATCCTGTTTGGTGTGTATCTCCTTCCATATCATTATTATTTGCTTTTAAATATTAATCAGAAATAACCAACTTAAAATGGAAAATTTTAAAAGAAAAAAAAAGGAAAAAAAGAAAAAAAAAAAATTCCCCCCCCAAATTTTTTGAACCCCCTTATGATTCATCACCCCCAAACTCAATCCCAGCCTTCCCTTTGTGGTATGGTACCTTGCAGTACAATTTCAGAGAGATCCATACACTTGAACACAAGTTATTGTCTGAAAACTAGAAAAATGCTTATTTTTGGCCCCTTTTTGGCCCCCAATTCCTAAATGTTTCGGGCAATTACCCCCAAACTCAATTCCAGCTTTCCCTTTGTGATATGGAACCTTGTAGTACAATTTCAGAAATATCCAAACACTTACACACAAGTTATTGTCATGAAACTAGAAAAATGCTTGTTTTTTGCCCCTTTTTTGGCCCCTAATTCCTAAAATTTCGAGGCAATTACCCCCAAAATCAATTACAGCCTTTCCTTTGTGATATGGAACCTTGTGGTACAATGTCAGAGAGATCCATACACTTACACACAAGTTATTGTCTGGAAGTTACAAAAATGCTTATTTTTGGCCCCTTTTTGGCCCCTCATTCCTTAACTGTTGGTACCATAACCCCCAAAATCAATCCCAACCTTCCTTTCGTGGTATTGAACCTTATGGTAAAATTTCATGGAGATCCATTCACTTAAACTAAAGTTAGAGTGCGAAAACCAATGTGTCTTCGGACGACGCCGGACGACGCCAGACGACGACGACGACGCCGGACGACGACGACGCCAACGTCATACCAATATACGACCAAAAAATTTTTAATTTTTGCGGTCGTATAAAAACTGTTTAAGAAAATATTTTTCACTAAAAAGAAAATATGATTTTAACCTTTCTAGTCAAGTAAAATCATACTTTATGGGCAATTGCATCAGTTATTGTATTTATGTTCATTAAGCGATTTTTGGTCCATCGAGGAAATGTTTGTGTTGAAGGCATTTAGTTGGCAATTGCATGTTATTTCCAACGTTTGCAAATTCAATTTGATTAAAAGTTGAGTGTCATTCTTGTCTATTGATTAGATATCTTCTTTGGTTTAATGATTGTAGTTGTTAACTTACCCTCTGTGTTTGAGTAGTTTCTGGTTGATAAGTATCCTCCAGATCATTCTCATCTTCCTCATTATCAATAAATGCTTCCTCATCTTCATCTTCAATGTCTTCTTCGATATCATTAACATTCATCCATAAATTTTTGTGGTCTTTCATTGCTTGCAGATGAGGACAAACATTACTTGTTTCGCTCAAGTATATGACTTTCCGAGTAGAAAAACTGTAAATGGCACTACATTCACCGGACTGGCATGATACACGGTTTCTGGAAACATTCACAAACTTACAATCTTGACTACTGTTTGGGACAACTGAAAATTTTTTGGTTCGAAGAGAAGACAGAAGTAAAATTACAGGTTTTTGTAAAGCAGCCAAAGATAACATTATACTTTTCTGAGATTTTGTTGGTGATGTAAAAAATTCTGTGCTGAAGTAGATGGGATAATCGGGTTCAATAATTTCTTTGAAATACCTTATATGGCAGCATTTGATGTTAATAGAATCTATTTCTGTGTCAGGCTGTTCATCTAATGTTGCGAGCTGTAATAAAGTTGCAAACAGTGTACATGTGCAATGGTATACGTTGACATTCCCAACAGTTCTCCTCGACATGTGAACAAAAGATGACTCCATTAAACATCCAGTGGTCATGTTGACGTCATTCAAACAGAGGACATCGGTATCGGACTCGTGTACACGCCAAAATAAACCTCCAGTCTCAATTTGTGCTGTTTTATACTTTTCATACAAGGAATTGTCAGAAGCCCTGTTGTGTGTTGTAAAGAGAGGATTTACAGTTCGAAGGTTTCTTAAAATATCCTCTTCATTCAAAGCTTTGCGTTTAGGTCTTACTTGTCTCAGATTAGAATTTTGCATATTTTCCCCAATGTTGATGTTGTCGTCATTGATGTTCTGGTGCGAATTTGCTGGGGAAGACTCTGGGTTACGAAACTTGTCAACTAATCGAAATATTGCAGAGTAGTTGGATTCTCGGTGATGGTAAAGTATCAGATTACGAAGAGAAGCAGGCTTATATTTCTCAGTGGAATCACGGACGGATAGCATTCTACCATAGCCAACATGAGCATGGGTTCCCTCATTCCAATAGTGGTCATTTGGTAAGCAGGAAATAATTTTGCACTGGTCATACAATGTGTATTTTGAGCTAGATGGTGGATCAAAAATAAATTTAAATTCTGGATTTTCAACAGGGACTCCTTTAGAGCGGTAGTTTTGAATTGTATTTTCCCATGTATGGAGAATTGGATGAAAGACTCCCGAAGCTTCGATAAATCTACAAAAGAAACATTTAGTTTCAATCATTTTACAGTAGATATGTTTTAGGTTAAAATTTCAGACAACTGAAAATATAACATTCTACAGATACAATATTTAATACATGAAATAATATAACTGTAAAGTATCTTTTTTTTTATAACATGTTAAACTGGTCTCAAAGATTCTCCTTTAATAGCATATATATATCAAAAACAAATATGTAGTGTAAAACTGATAAACAACAATACATTATATATATTTTTTTTCTTATCTGATACACAAAAATGTATTTAAATTTCTTTTTGATGTTCATTTTTTTCCAATGCAAACTCGCATCATAATTTTCAGAATTATTAAACATGTTAAAAGCTATTCACCTAAGGGAGAGAAAACAGCTTAAATTACATCATTAATAAAATAGAATGTTTGAGGACAAGAATACACCTGCTCGTACTTTGCAATTGTCTGCATGCTGTGGTTTTTATCATTGTGTATGGACTGTCAAAGGTAACACTTAATGCTTCTTTCACCCGAAAGCAGGGGCATAACAAAAGTATGGTAAGTTAATAGGTTCTAAGTGTCAATTTTTTAATTTCATTTACACACTGAAATAGACATTCAAACAAATAATATTTCTCTTCAATTACTCCTGCAATAAAATTCATGAATATATAGTTGAATAAAATGCTCTGCAGGGCGCAGCTTGATACGACCGCAGAGGTCGAACCCTTAACAGTTGGGGCAAGTATGGACACAACACTTAAGCTTGATGCAGCTCTGAATTTGGATTGTGATTAAATAGTTGACACAGCATAGGTTTCTGACACAGAATGAATACGGTCTAAGAACTTAAAAATTTTGAATTGTACATTTACCTTTTATGGTCCAATATCCAAAATCTAAATACTTGGTTAGATTCAGCATATCAAAGAACCCCAAGAATTCAATTTTTGATGAAATCAAATAAAGTTCAATTTTGGACCCTTTAGACCTCAATGTGGACCAATTTGATAACAGGGCCCAAATATCAAAAATCTAAATACATGGTTAGATTCAGCATATCAATGAACCCCATAAATTCAATTTTTGTTGAAATCAAACAAAGTTTAATTTTGGACCCCGATTTGGACCAACTTGAAAACTGGGCCCATAATCAAAAATCTTAGTACATGTTCAGATTCAGCATATCAAAGAACCCCAAGAATTCCATTTTTGTTCAAATCAAACAAAGTTTCATTTTGGACTCTTTAGACCTCAATGTGGACAAATTTGATAACGGGGCCCAAATATCAAAAATCTCAAACACAGTTAGATTCGGCATATCAAAGAACCCCAATAATTCAATTTTTGATGAAATCAAACAAAGTTTAATTTTGGACCCTTTTGGCCCATAATTCCTAAACTGTTGGGACCAAAACCCCCAAAATCAATCCCAACCTTCCTATAGTGGTTATAAACCTTGTGTTAAAATTTTATCGATTTCTATTTACTTATACTAAAGTTATTATCCGGAAATCATCAGTCTTCGGACGACGCTGACGTGATACCAATATACGACAAAAAAAATTTTAATTTTTGCTGTCGTATAAAAATGCAAACTGAATAAAAAGATAAATTTATATCTCATTTCAACCAGTTGTTTAGAGAAAAACTAAGACCAATATAAGTTTCCTTTCTGAAGATCTCAATTATACCTGGCTTTTTGAGTATTGTTTTCCTTGTGCGAGTTATGTTTGATAACATTTACTACTGTTCCTAGTAACTGGCAAGATTCTGTTGAGGTGTGTGCCTTTGCCATCAATTTTCTGTGTGAATTTAGAATACTAGTTTTATTTCTTTCAAGAAGGTTGACGTATCGTCTTCCAGTATCTGAACCAGGATTACCTACAATAATAAACAACAATCTCATTCTTTGAAACTAGCATTATAAAAAAACAATGTAACTGCTGATGAGGACAGAATATTGTTTAAATGAGAATATTATCTAGAAAAAATACACTAGAGAAATATCTTTTATCAGATGATTGATTGCTGTTGTTGACTCGCCCCAATTAGCTTTATTATGTAGGATCAGAGTTAAACACACCTTGCTGGGTTCAAACTTACAACATGTACAACCTCAATGTTGACAGGATAATTATCACCAAAAACCACTCAACTGCTGAAGCCCCCATTTTACACAAATTAAATTGGAGCATGCATATGCAGACTGTATTCTTACTTAAATCACAATCCTCTTTGAAAATACAAAAAATAAATTTTTGGAAGCAGCTTATAAATCAGGATATTGTTTGTATTATCAAAAGCTTTAAGTTTTTTATATGCTGTTCATATATAATGTATGTCTGTTTATGTTTTACTTGCTCATTGCTTTTAATTTTTTATTTATCATAAATTGTCTTCTAGGTTTCAGTTATCCCATTCCTCCTTCTATATAGTTTGGTACCATCTATGAAGTTGATGAATTTTGATGCTGAACATGGAATTATGTCCAATGCAGCTGTATTAATTCAGTGTATATTTTAAAATAGTAAACTTGCTTAATGAATGATGACTTCTTTTTCTTTCTAACTTAAGGGTGTATCTTCTGTGGTACTGCTTAATATCATCTTGAGTGGAAACTTGCAACCAAACCAGTCTTGTTATATCCAAATGATGTTCCTCAAAATAATTCTTAAGCTGAGACATTCCTAGTGACAAAAAATAAGAAACGTATTTCTATAAATGTTACAAGAATGAATAAATATATTTTTCTTATATGACAACATATTTTTCACATATTGAAATAATGCTAAAGGTTACTGATATTTGACATACTGATATATAATTACAGTCTTCACGCTGAGTGGCAGCCCAGGCTTGTAATATTGCTCTCGGGCCTGTAAAAATCATATCTACAAGCCAACAGAATCTAACTAAAAATTTTCAAAAATTGAGCTCCGGGCCTGTAGATTTAGCAGTTCATCGTGAAGACTGTAATTATAAGTTTTATTAACTATAAACACTGAACATGAATATGATAAGGGTAATTATATCTTAATTTCAGATAAAATTTAATTGTTCTTTGGCTTCATGAAGTAAATACATTTTTTTTTATAGATTTCCTTATTCACAATCATGGTATGTTAACAGGACCTGTAATAAATCTTCATGATGTGTTAACATTTTTAGAGGCATTTGATTGTATAGTGATAATAGTGAAAAACTGCTCTAGAACTGAAGGGATATATATGAGTTTACTGTTTCCTTAAAAAATAAGAATACCTGAAAAACATGATAATCATGAGTTGTGTGGCTAAGCACCATGATTAATCATATAATGAATAGTTTATACTTTAGTGAATGTTTAATTCCTTTTTATTTTTAGATTAATTGCACATCTTACTCAAATAATGTTATAACATAGATATATTAGGAATATGAAAACAATGTAAAAATGTAAAAGTTTTTTTTCAATGGGAAAAAACTAAGGACAATTGTGTAGACCACTGTTATGAATTTACATGGTAGATATAAAGCATACCCTCAGATAAGAAATATCCCTGAAGAACTCCACTTTCAAAAAATCTGCAGTAGTAAACATCATCAAGCTTAAAGAAGGAGCAGTAAAATTCTCCATCAGTAAGGGAGGGTGATGACAGATCTAACATAGTTTTCTCTAACTGAAATAAAAACGGTGTTTCTGGTGAAGTGTAGTTAGCACTGGCCAAAGATTCCGAACATTTTCCTTCTAGATACACAACTCTTGAGGCAATTTCTAAATTCTTCTTTAAGCTGACTTTCCATTCTACAATGAATTTTGATTTATACAGTTTACTTATTAGTTGTAACAATAGATTTTTACCTAGATGCAACATGTATTTCATTTAAAAAATGTAAAGATTTTTGCAATAATAAAACCATTTAAAATAATTGATAGATGATGTGTTTGTTTACCATATATCATGTAGAACATTGACATGTCAATTCAATAAGTTTTTGTGCTGATTTTACTCAGAAATAATATTGTTTATCTTTTTTGTTTTGAGTTTAACAAATATATATCAATGCTATCAATATTAAAATAAATGTGGATAGTGTCCACATGTGGACACAGATGATGCCCCCGCTTGCATATCATATAGTTATAAAGGGACATAACTGAAGAACGGTAAAAGTGACGCTACCCAAATTTGAACTTGATCTGAGTTTTGTGGTAATAAGCATTGTGTATAAGTTTCATAACATTTAGTTGAGGTAAACTTAAATTAGAGAACGGAAACTAAAAATTTTGCAATTTTTCCATTTATAAAGGGGCATAACTCTAGAACGGTTGAAGTGACGCCACCAAAATTCAAACTTGATCTGTGTTTTGTGGTAATAAGCATTGTGTATAAGTTTCATAACATTTGGTTGAGGCAAACTTAAGTTAGAGAACGGAAACTTAAAATTTTGCAATTTTTCCATTTATAAAGGGGCATAACTCTAGAACGGTTGAAGTGACGCCACCAAAATTCAAACTTGATCTGTGTTTTGTGGTAATAAGCATTGTGTATAAGTTTCATAACATTTGGTTGAGGCTAACTCAAGTTAGAGAACGGAAACCAATTTTGGGACGTACGGACGGACAAGGGTAAAACTTAATGCCCCCACCGCTACGGTGGGGGCATAAAAACAATTGAAAATACTGCAAATATATTTCTACAATTTATGTTATTCATGAATTACCTCTGTCTTCTAACTGTTGCAAAACTGAAGATGATGGACATGCTAATTCTGGTCTAGATGAATGTACTCCAAAAGTTTCCTATCAAATAAACAAAAAATTAAATTTAAAAATGAAAATTTTCTTACTACATTGTGTACATGTATCTGTATAATTCCAGCTTACGGCCCAAAAGGTCATAAGCATTTGTTATGCCACATAATAACTTATCATAGCCAAGCTGCTGACATTATTCACTAACTTCTAAATAAAGAACCAAAATAAAGCCTTAGTAAGGTGCGACTCATAATATTTATACATGTAGTAAGGCACTTGTGGGTTAAATTGATTACTGATTATACTTGGACACAAGTAACTGATCTTTAGATGAAAATTAAAATAAATCAAACAGCAGCACAAGTTTATTTAAATGAAATACAGAAAATGTTTTACTGCACATGTACATCATTTTATTGTTCAACTGATAGGAATTTAAAAAAGAACCCATTAGATCTTGATGAAACTTTAAGAAAACTTTGAAAACCACAGTAAATTGTTTCTCCTATGTAAAGGGTTAGGAATTACTAGAGTTTAGGCACCCCATTGAAAATTTAATGTTCCCTTTTTTCAGTCAGATTGATGCAAAATGTTTAAACTTTGTTATAATAAATTAAAAGATATGATTGTTGAAAAATAGATATGGATAATGGTGTTATATTTCCTCTTACGTCTATACGTTTAGTATTGTTAAAAACTCCATGTTAACTAAAAACAATATTTCAACCAGATTTGCTATTTTTCTCTTTATCATGTTTATGCAAATAAACAAATAATCTTAAATGGAAGGGGAATGAAACGATCATTTTAAGCTTTTTAGATGAAGCTGAGAACCAGGTATTCAATCCTGACTGTTGCCTTTTCCCACTTCCCACTTTAGTTAATTTAAAAAAAAAAAATATTGATAAAATATTTTATAAAATTTCAATGTTATGATTTCTTCAGAAAATTTCTGTAAAAATATCATGTAAACTTAAAAAAAAAAAAATAGACAATATGTCGATAGTACATATGTGATGCACCACATGCATACAACATTATACAGGGACATAACCCCAAAAAAGTAAAAGTGATGCCACCTAAATTTGAACTTGATCTGTGCTTTGTGATATTAAGCATTGTGAATTAGTTAAATAAAATATTAGACAATAACTTTGTGGGTCCACACACTTCAGAATTACAGCCAAAAAGAGAGACTATATGTATGTATGTGCCGGTCCCAAGTCAGGAGCCTGTAATTCAGGGGTTGTCGTTTGTTAATGTGTTACATATTTGTTTTTCGTTCATCATTTTTTGAACATAAACTAGGCTGTTAGTTTTCTCGTTTGAATTGTTTTACATTTGTCATTTCTGGGCCTTTTATAGCTGACTATGCGGTATGGGCTTTGCTCATTGTTGAAAGCCGTACAATGACCTATAGTTGTTAATTTCTGTGTCATTTGATCTCTTGTGGAGAGTAGTCTCATTCATGGCAATCATACCACATCTTCTTTTTTATATTTACCATAGGGAGAAGTGAAGGGTTGTGTCATATTTTTTTTTAATTCAATTTTCAAAGTCAGGAACCTAATGTTCAGTGGTTGTTGTTTGTTGATGTGGTTCAGTAGTGATTCTTGTTTTTTATAATTAGGTTTCCAAGTTTGAATGGCTGACACTGGTCTTTTTTGGGGCCCTTTATAGCTTGCTGTTCGGTGTGAGCAACGTCTCTGTGTCAAAACCTGTACTTTTGATCTATAATTGTTTACTTTTACAAATTGTGACTTTGATGGAGAGTTGTCTCATTGGCACGACATACCATATCTTCTTATATCTATCTATATCTTTTTATTTCTTTTAAAAGCATTTGTGTATGACAACTGCTAAGGAGGTATTTCCCTGCCTTGCCATGCTTGTCACATGCTTGTGGTCTGAATTTCATTTGTATCTACGGACATATATTGTCAAAATATATCATAAGGACCGTAATGATAAATCTATAATACATTTTGTAGCTACAGTTGTGTAGATAGATCCGAATGAATTGAAGATAATTTCCCAAATTTTGCTGCATCTTAATGATTTTTTAAACAAAAGTATGTTTGGAATTGCTTGAAATTGCATATAGCACACAGTAAAAAGGCAAAATCCCTAAAAAAATATATTAATATAAATCAATTGAAAACTATGAAATGTTAGCCTAAATACCTTACATACATGTACAGTTTCACTGTCTTTCTTTAACAAGATCTTAATAATAAAAAAATGTAAGTTTATAAATTATTAACAAACTAAAAACATATATGATATTAAAGTTGGGTCTAAAAAGCACATTGGTGGCAATGGCCTTGTTACAGGAGGTACATGTAAATAAATACAACCATAAAACCATTCTAATGAATCGAGAATTGGTACCTACGGAACATAAATTATTTCTAGACTATCCTGCAGAATAACAATCCTGAACATACTTGAACTGACATTTTGTGAAGTTAAGTGGTCAGTGTAACAAGTTGTATTTTGCCAATGTATGAAGGAATTTCTGAACATAGACTAGAAGGATAAATTCTGGATTTCTTTGTAAATTGAAAAATCATATTCAGTTTAATATGTTAAAACATCATTGAACATTGTCCACAATTGTTTACTGCATGTTGTAGCAGATTATTCATCCTGTACTGTGAAAGCTCATTAAGTTTTAGCTCTTACCAAATCTATGTTAATCTTTTTTTAAATAATTTTCACCCCCCCTCCCCCACCCCCCAAAAAAAAATTAAATGGTTGTCCACTTATTGATCCTAATTTGTAATAGACTTCCATCGTTTGTTCAGCTTTTTAATGTAGTGTTCCTAAGTTTTTGTCAAGTGCACAACTTAAGACTAAGAAGTTATCCAGTGTATGCTTTCGTTTATACCAGGAACGACTTATTCGTAACTTTAGTTAAGTTTAAGGCCATATATGATGCACGTGCGGAGCGTGGGACCTTATTAAAACCTGGGTACATATGAAACCTTCAGATGTTTACAATTTGTAATGACTTTTGTAATAGGTATGACAAGCTATTGACGAGTATTGTACGCACATCTTCGGTTGTGTCTCGATGTTTTTTTTAAAGCAATAAAGGGGGAGGGTCTATGTTATGAAGTTAAAAAACCCGCAAGACACACTGTTAAAGCACTTATTGCTGCATTTCAGTTGTCAAGCTAACTTACTTTCACTGAATTACTCATAACCCTGCTAAAAATATTCTTATATTAAATAGAATCAACTGTAGAATTGTTGTGACCCCAATGTGAAGCAACAATGGCCGACAAAGATGCTCTGCAGCAGTAGCAATATCACATTATCCAAGCAACCAATGGGACGTACAGCACCAGACTTTTTTGTAATATATGATATGATTGGTTCCTACGTTTTGGTAGGTAAATACTATGTTAGTACCTAGAATCTATTCTTCAAGACAATCATGTATTATTTGTGAAGTTGATACGGAAAATTTATCAACAAGGTCTTGGTATCTTCCGATGAACTTTTTATTAGAAAAAGGACGAGACGTTCTTTTACATAACCCTGGTTCATCAACTTTCTGCTCAGACACGGATGACGTTTTATAAAGTCTGAGTAGCAGCTGCAAGCTCTCGAATACCGAATGAGTTGGGAAATATATATCCCATATGCAGGTGAAGTTGGTATATTGCTGCTTAGGTGGGGGAAATTTATAATTTCAAAATTAAAATCGTCTCGTTTGTCATAGATTCTATTACTAAGATGACCACTTATGTCAAATTCGAGGTATAAGTCTAAAAATGAGGCGGAGGAAGCCGTGTCTGTTGTTTCTTTGATTTCTAGTCCTTGAGGATATGTTAATGGAATTATTTTTTTTTGTGAAAGTTTTGGCTATGAAGGATATATAAATGCATTTAAGGCTCCCAATTTTTCCTTTTTGGAAAGAAAAGAAAAGAAAAGAAAAGAATGGGAACGGATTAAACTTGTTTTAGCGTAATAGAGTTCACCGAAATTCCTTTATCGATTGGTTGAGTTATAACCTACTTATATAATATGTGTCACACTAACATCGTACCAAAGTGTTTTTGCATTTAAGTTGGATATTGTTTCTGACTTCGAATAACTTTTTTAATATATTAATTATGGACCTTACGTTTACAGAGAGGTAAGTTCTCTTTTTCGTTCCTTTTATATATTTTTTCGGGAAAGGCTGTTTTAAAGTGGGCACATATATTAAATACACATACATATGTTTATATACCACTATTCAGCAATAGTTTGATAAATACATAAAGAATGGTAACATAAACAAGAGGCTCATGAGAGCCTGATATCGCTCACCTTGCTGTAATTTCAGTTTCAGGCATTTGACTTATTTGTAGATCTTACTTTGCTGAACAATTATGCCATTTACACTTTCTCTCTTTCTATAATAATATTAAAGATAATACATAACCCATAACTGTAAAATTTCCTAAAAATTAACTATTTCCGGACAGTAACCCAACAATAAGATGTTCTATTGGTCTGAAGACAGGTACTTGACAGGTAGATCTAAACCTGTTTAACACTTTCACCTATGTCAGTTTTGCTCTTACTGCTTACTGTTTTTGAGATGAAAGCCAAAAACTTCATTTGACCCCTATGTTCTATTTTTAGAAACTGCCGCCATGTTTTTGAATGGATCAAATCCCCGAATACAATCTATAAACTAAATACCCTAAGGAACATTCAATTAAAGTTGTTGAGTATTTGGCAAAGTAGTTTCAGAGAAGAAGATTTTTGAAAAAGTAATTGGACTTTCACAAAAAATGTAAAAAAAAAACGTTTTAAGGGCAATAACTCCTCAAGGGGTCAATTGACTATTTTGATCATGTTGACTTATTTGTAGATCTTACTTAGCTGAACATTTATTGCCGTTTATACTTTCTCTCTACCTATTATGATATTAAAGAAAATAACCAAAAACAGTAAAATTTAATAAAAATAAACTATTTACAACAGTAACCCAACAAAGGGTTGTCGAAATCGTCTGAACAGATAGATCATGACCCATTTATCACTTTAACTCTTTTCACTTTTGATCTAACTGCTGTAGTTTTTGAGATATAAGCCAAAAACTGCTTTTGTCCCCTATGTTCTATTTTTAGCCATGGTGGCCATGTTTGTTGATGGGTCAAAACTTCAGATACAATTTATAAACTGGATAAACTAAGGAGCATTCAGTTAAAGTTTGGAAGTATTTGGCAAAGTAGTTTCAGAGAAGAAGATTTTTTTGAAAAAGTAATTGACTTGCACAAAAAAATGTAAAAAATAAACGTTTCAAGGGCAATAACTCCTTAAGGAGTCAATTGACTATTTTAATCATTTGACTTATTTGTAGATCTTACTTAGCTGAACATTTTTGCTATTTACACTTTCTCTCTATCTATTTTAATATTAAAGATAATAACCAAAAACAGTAAAATTTCATAAAAATAAACTATTTCGGACAGTAACCCTACAATGGGTGATCCAATTGTTCTGAAAATTTCATAGCAGATAGATCTTGAATTATTCATCACTTTAACTCCGTCACTTTTGCTCTAACTGCTATAGTTTTTGAGATAAAAGCCAAAAATTGCATTTGACCCATATGTTCTATTTTTAGCCATGGCGGCCATGTTTGTTAATGGATCAAAACTTTGGATACAATTTATAAACCAGTTACCCTAAGGAACAGTCAGTTAAAGTTTAGAAGTATTAGTTTCAGAAGAGAAGATTTTTAAATGTTAGCAAACATGATGAACATATTGTGTAAAATTGTCCTTAAAGGGCAATAACTCCTTAAGGGGCCAATTGACAATTTTAGTCATAAACACTTTTTTGTAGATCTTACTTTGCTAAACATTTTTGCTGGTAACAGTTTATCTTTAACTTCAATGATATTCAAGATAATAACCAAAAACTGCAAAATTTTCTTAAAATTACCAATTTAGTGACAGCAACCCAACAATGGGTTGTTCGATTCGTCTGAAAATTTCTGGGCTGATAGATCTTACCCTATTGAATATTTTTACCTCGTCAGATTTGCTCTAAATGCTTTAGTTTTTGAGATATAAGCCAAAAAACTGCATTTGTCCCCTATGTTCTATTTTTAGCCATAGCACCATGTTTGTTGATGGATCAAAACTTTGGATATCATTTATAAACTAGATACACTAAGAAACATCCAGTTAAAGTTTGAAGGTATTTGGCCCAGTAGTTTCAGAGGAGAAGATTCTTGAAATAGTTTACGACGACAGACGACGACGACGACAGACGACGGACGACGACGGACGCTAAGTGATGGCATAAGCTCACATGAGCTAAAAAGAGATCATGTTATATTATATGTATGATTATGTTTATTAGAACGATATTGGAAGACATTACTCAATTTCATGGTAGACCAAATTCCCAAGTACAGTATATACAGGATTTTTTAAAGTTGTTTTTGTTATCATTTATTACACTCGATAAAAAAATAGAAATATTTGTTATGAACTTTTAAGCTAAATTTTTATGGTGTTGTGTAAGTGAAGAATTGCATTGTTTTATATTAGTAGGAAACAGGCTTTATAAAACATTTTGTTTTGACGTTTATTGAGACGCTTTATTAAATTCTGTCTGGTCTTGGTAAGTTCTTTAGTAATAAATATTCTTTCAAAATTGGTTTTGATGCGTTTTTTTAGCACTGTACACAAGGTTTTTTGACTTTCCAGTTTCTAAATCGGTATATTATTTGCCCTTTCCCTTCTCTTATTTGACCAATTATGTGGGATTGGTTAATATCATCTGCTGTAAGATGGGAGACTTTCTGTAAGTTAAGTTTGATATTTACAATGTAAATCACCTGTTCGGTCAGTTCTTTGTAGATCACTATACTACGTTCGTATATTGTGGAATCTGAGACATGTATGACATATTGTTCCAGCTCTTCAACCTGGTAGTAAAGCTCTGGGATATCATGCTGTAATTCACTGTTTTAGACACAAACTCACCTTGAACTTTTTCATAAAATCTTTCTCCTCTATTTTTTTTATTAGTACCTCATTTTCTGTTTTAAAAGTTTGGTTCTGTCTAATAGTGTTATCAATTTATGATCTTGTTCATCTATACGCATTTGTAGAGGTCTGGCCACATCTGCAACAGCCTCTTCAACGTCTCTTCAACTGTACTTCTTATCATCGACTGCAGATCTGATTTTAATTCTTTAATTCTTTAGATGTTTATTTTACAATACTTGATATAATATTCCGAAGAACATTTTGCATTAACAGAGTAGATTCAATTAAATTTACCATGTTGTATGTGACTTGAAAATCATTTGGTCGCTATCATCCGTTTTTCTTGTTTGTGATGAACTATACGACTTTACGGTATGTGTTTTCTCATTGTCGAAGGCCGTATATATGCGGTTGCCTATGCCGGATTGCTAACATCCACTTCATTTGAACTTTGATGGATAGTTGTATCATTGGCAATCATACCACATCTCCTTATTTTTATATTAAGGCATGGCAAACACCACCACCCTAAGCAATTATAGGCAACCGTACCTCCTTCAAAAATGGGGAGAATCCATACCGTATAGTCGTCTATAAGATGCCCCGACAAGAAAAATATGAAATTATTCAATTGAGAAAACTAAAGGACTAATTTATAACAAAATAATTTACGAAAAACGAATATGACGAGCATGAACCAACTACAAACACTGAAATACAGGCTCCTGACTTGGGACAGACACATATATAATGTGGCGGGGGTTAAACATGTTTGAAGGCGGAAACCCTCCCCCTAATCTGGGACAGTGGTGTAACGGCACACTACAAGAGAAAACTATGCAAAACAACAAACAAACAAAAAATACGAGAAACAGAAAAAAACGACAACCACTCAATTACAGGCTGTTGACTTGGGACAGGCACATATTTGTAAGACTGCATGACCATACGGTTCAGTTATAGAACAAGGATGACGTCGTCTTCCGTTATAGAATTAGGCGAACGTCTCACCATTGAACATGACACATGACAATAGCGCCCTATTCATGTGCATTTAAGAATATTACTATATATATATTTTAGTTAAAAGTACTTTAATATATCAGAGTACAAATTTATATACTATATTTTTTCAAGTCGTGGGAAACGTATTGAAAGTAAACGGACTTTCATTATATTTTATGAGTATGAGTGAATAGATATTTTGTGATAAAATGACATCACAAAATATCTACCCACTCATAGTCTATTGTAAACATCCATTGGATTTATTTTAAAATTCTATTTCATAGTATATATATGCCCATTTAAAGCTTTGAAGTACAAATCTAAATATCGTCAACTCACTTTTTAAAGCTTAAAAGTACAAATC